ACTAATTTGGGAGCAGAGGAGCAGGGTTATTATTATTATTTTAAAAAATGCTCTGCCTTTTCTGGAAATACTGAGAATCTAACTAGTGCCCTTCAGATTCCTTACCTTTGGCAGATAATTTGGGATGCCCAAGTCTCGGCTCCTTGGCATTTATGCAAACCGGTCCCTTGTGTGTCTGGGCTTTGCAGGTGTCACCATAAGGCCTTGACCTTCTCTCTGAGCCACGTCGATCGAGATGGATCAATTCTCACCTTTTTTTCCTCCCCCCCCGTCCCCCAACACTTTCCCAGCCTCTGTGCAGCCTACGTTGGATTTCTGCCGCCGACTGGATAGCCTCGTGGGGCCTCAGCTTACCGTATTAGCTTCGGATATCTGTGAACAATACAACCTCAAGAAAAGGATATCGGGGTCAGTTCCTGTATTAAAAAAAAAAAATTGGGGAGGCGGGGATAGGGAACGGCACCTTCTTAATAAGGGACAGGTATTTAAAAGCTGCAGAAATGTCCTTAACAGCGGGGTCCGTTTCAGTTGGCCAAGCAGATGATGGTTAAAGAGAAGCAGGATCTACGTTAAAGGGATCTTTCCCAGTTTTCAGTCCTCCCCATTCTCCGGAGTAACGGGTAGCAATCCCTCTCTGATCCCCATCCCAGTGGAGGACAGATAAGCCATGGATTCCCCCAGTGGGGATGGTTTGCAAGTTTGGGTTGAAGTTGACCCTTACCAACAACCTTGTTGACCGAGGGAGCAGAGACCAGCATAGATGATGCATCGTGCAAAGCCAGAAAATGGAGATAACGATCTTGGCCGACTCATCTCCTTGTAGTTTATTCACCAAACTACAGTTAAGCAAACCGAGGTTCAGCACTCTTCCCATCTCAGGTTGATAGATGAACAAAATACTAGGACAGGGGTCCTCAAACTTGGCCACTTTAAGACATGTGGACTTCAACTCCCAGAATTCCCCAGCCGGGACCCCTCTACTAGGAGAACCTGCTCTGAAATAAATCTTCATCCTGTTTGCGGAAAGAGCGGTGATGCCTCCTTTGATCTCTCCGTTCATCTCTTTCTTAGGTCCGAGAAGGACCCTCAGTTTAAATTCATCTACTTCAATCATATGAATCTGGCTGAGAAAAGTACCATCCATGTGAGAACGTCAAATATCTCCCACGCGTCCGTCCATCCTGACTTGATGAAGATCCTTGGCGATATCAACAACGATTTTACAAGGTGATCTACCCTCTCCCATCTCCGTTGACTATTTGTCCCTCTCCTTATCGTTTCAGAGGCAGGATGAATAATATTACTTCCTTTTCTTTTTTTGACTTGTTAAAAATACCTGTTTGAACATGATTTATCTTAAGACTTTTTTTACAGTGCCAAAGGTGCTTTTTTAAAACTGGCCTTTCTTTCTTTTTCTTTGAAGACGTTTTCTCTTCTCATCCAAGAAGCTTCTTTAGTTCTTCTTCAGTTCAGAACTTAAAAAGCTTCTTGGATGAGAAGCGAAGTGTCTTCAAGGAAAAACAAAAGTCCAGTTGCTTTTTGACAATCTTTGGGACAATCCATGACCTGGATGGCTGAGAATCTCCATAGGCACCTCTATTAAATGCAGTTGGCATTTCCAACAGTGTCGGTGGGCATCAGAGACTTTTCCAGAAAATAAAATCGGAGTCTGTTGGGTGGTTAGCCTGCTGTGCCACACGGATCATGGCAATTATTTTTTGTGTGCCCGAAATGTTGAAAACTGCAGTTTTCATCCCCAATTCTGGGACAAAGCAAAAATGGAAGCTTGCTTCTTCCGAGGATATTTAAGGTTTGATGTGTTTATGACTGTCTGACGATCTATCTGACCTGCCTTGTTCTTGAACGAGCTGAGTGTAGTATTTGGTTGAAGACCACAAAGAAGTCTGAGGTATAGACTAGACTGGGAAGTTAAAACACACACACACACACACACACACACACACACACACACACAGAGAGAGAGAGAGAGAGAGAGAGAGAGGAAAAAGGGAAGAGTAAACCGCTTAGTTGATAAGAAAATGCTGTGGATATTTTTATTTAAGCCTCAATCGATTTGCTGATTATTTTGTTTTCAGTGTCTCCCACCTCTCACCCCCAAATTTATTTCTAATTGAGTTTTTTATACTTCTGAAAATCTGATCTCCGAACGTGGTTGTTTTCTCTAGCACTGATGAGGTTACCTAGTTGGGTCATGAAGCGTCTGCAAGAAAGCCACCAGGCTCAGAGACAACCAAGGACCCCTCGTTCCAACCCTGAGCTCCCAATATTTTCCTTTCTTTTTTTCCCTTTTTTTGGAATCTGATCTCCTCTTTGTTTAAAGGGTGGACGATGATGAAGAAATCATTGTGAAGGCGATGAGCGACTACTGGATTGTCGGCAAGAAGTCTGATCAGCGGGAACTGTACGTTATTTTGAGTCAGAAGAACGCCAACCTAATTGAAGTGAACGGTAAGGAACTCTTAAATTAAAAAATATATTAATCGTCTGTCCATTCAGCGTCATTTTCAATCTAGAACCACCGTTGTCAAGCACGAGAGAAAAGCAATGAAGAGGTTGGTGTAAAATCTTGAGGCAGAAGAAACAGAAGGAAATGCAGATATGAGTGAGGCAGACCTAGAATTTGCATTTGATTCAGTTATGTGTAGTATAACAGAATAACAAAGTTGGAAGGGACCATGGAGGTCTTCTAGTCCAACCCCCTACTCAAGCAGGAAACTCTATACCATTGCAGACAAATGGTTGATCAGTCTCTTCATGAAAACCTCCAATGATGGAGCACCCACAACTTCTGGAAGCAAGAAATTCTACTGATTAATTATTTTAACTGTCAGGAAGTTTCTCCTTAGTTCTAGGTTGCTTCTCTCCTTGATTAGTTTCCATCCATTGCTTCTTGTCCTGCTCTCAGGTGCTTTGGAAAATAGGTTGACCTCTCTTCTTATGTGCTCTTAAGACTTGAGATCCCTAAGGCATTACTTCCACCAGATGTGTGGAGGCAATATATCCCTCCTAGCTTGGAATTCTGGGAACTGTAGTACGTCTCAATCAAGGAGGTGAATTCCAGAGAGGCCGTGCCAAAGACTTTTAGTAGACTTGATTACTGATATTCATTGGTCATCTTTTGTATGTGAAGCTGAACTTTTCTACGCAGGCACAAAGTTTTGTAGTTGCCTAGACCAGTGTTTCTCAACCTTGGTGACCTGAAAATGCGTGGACTTCAATTCCCAGAATTCCTCAGCCACATGGGCTGAATTCTGGGAACTGAAGCCCACGCATTTTCAGTCCTTTCGACAGTTCCAAGAAGGCTCCACGCCCATTTGCACTACTCAGGTGACCTTGAGGACGCAGATAAACCTCCAAGTGGCCTCAACGGCTCTCTAGAAGAAGGCAAATGACCAGCTGTCTGCAAGGAGTATAAATCCTTCCATTCCCCCACCATCCAGTCAGAGCTGAAGAAGCTTCTTGGATGAGAAGCAAAACGTCTTCAAAGAAAAACAAGAACGTCCAGTTGCCTCGTGAAAAAAGCACCTTTGAGACAACCATGACCTGGATGACTGAGAATCTCGATAGACAGATAGTTCTGAGGCTTTTTGTAGGCTGTCCCTCAAAAATAAATGAATAAGTAAAAATTTAAAAAATGGCTCGGAACCATAGAAATAATGCAGAAATAGGCAGCCTTCAGGAAACTTACTAAAGATAACGTTTATGTCCTACTGATGGTAACTTTTCAACACTGAGTGCTTCTTTCTTTTAAGCTGTAAAACTCAATTCTTTCTCCCTTTCAGAAGAAGTAAAGAAACTTTGTGCAACCCAGTTCAACAATATTTTCTTCTTGGATTGATCCGCCGCGGCTCTCATCTCTTTGAAGAGAGCATCAAGACCCCTAAAAGGCATAACTTGTTTACTGGGACCAGTTCATTGAGTCACATTACTGACTGGCATAACGACAATAGTAAAGCAAATACTTGCTTTGTAAGAATCCACTTTCTACAAAAATCATGTCCTCGCCGGCCGTACCCTCTTTTTAGATTTTAAAATATTTATGTTCAAATTGATTAAAATTGGTCAGAATGAAACCTGTGTCCTTCCTTCCTTGTCTCTGTCTGTCATTGTGTAACTTATTTTACTGGAATAATCAAACTTAAAATGTTGCCACTTTAATAAACTTTCTTCCTCTTTCGCTTCTCTGTCACAAAATAAGCCTGTTTTATAAGGCTGCTGTCTGCCGTGTGATGTTTCGACGGCCTGGAAATACAGGCAGTCCTCAACTTAACGACCACAATTGAGCCCATTTCTGCTGCTAATTAAAACATTTGTTAAGGGGGTTTTGCCCCATTTTACGACCTTTCTTGCCACTGTTGTTAAACTGAATCACTGCAGTTGTTAAGTTAGTAACACAGTTACTAAGAGAATCTGGCTTCCCCCATTAACTTGGTTTGTCAGACGGTCACAAAAGGGGATCACGTGACTCTTTTGGACACCATCGTAAACATGAGCCAGTTGACAAGTGTGTCCGAATTTTGATCATGTGACCACGGGGATGCTGCAGCGGTTGTTAGCGTGAGAAATGGCCATAAGTCACTTTTTTTTAGTGCCATTGTAACTTTGATCACTAAGTGAACTTACGACTAAGTGACATTATACCTTTTTCACCCTTAACGACCGCAATGCAGCATCCCCATGGTCCTGTGATCAGAATTCAGAGGCTTGGAAACTGGCATGCACTTAACGATGGTTTTTCGTCCCGGGGTCACGTTATCCCTTTTTGCGACCTTCTGACCAGCAAAAGTAACGGGGAAGACCGATTCACTTTAACAACCGCGTTACTAACTTCACAGCTGCAGGGATTCACGTAACAACTGTGGCAAGAAAGGTAAAACGGAGCAAAATTCACTTTTAACACCTGTCCGGCTCGGCAAGAGAAATTTTGGGCTCAGTTGTGGTCGTAAGTGGAGGACTACCTGGTGGCTGTGCAGCTCTTCTCACTTTTTCTTCTTTTTCCCCGCTACGGCTGCCTTGGTACCGGGCACACTCTGAAGCGAAGTAGGAGATTCTTCCTTCGGAGGAGATTGGAGCTGGCTCAGACTTTCCTCCATTTCTCGATTCAAATTCTCCTCTAGTTCTAAGGCTGCTTTTTCCGCTGCCGCTTCTTCTAATTTCCGGGCCTCCTCGGCCTCCTTCATAGCCTGGAGCCTGCCAACAAAAACAGGAGTCTTCAAACCCTAAACTGCAGGGAGGATTAACTTTGATCTTGAACTTACCACCCAGTTTTGACCCAAAATCACTGTTTTCCAAATTGGAGGATCTACAGCAGTGTTTCCCAGCCTCCGCCATTTTAAGATAGGTGGACTTCAACTCCCAGAATTCCCCAGCCAGCCATGCTGGCTGGGGAATTCTGGGAGTTGAAGTCCACATCTCTTAAAGTTGCCTGAGGTTGGGAAACACTGATCTACAGCAATGCTTCTCCACCTTGGCAACTTTGAAGATGTGTGGACAGCCAATTCATGGCTGGCTGGGGAATTCTGGGAAGCTATAGGAAATACTAGGATTTGTTCAACCAGCATTGCATTCAGTGAGCAGCCCAAAATCAGGGTTACTTTACCAACTCCTTTCATTTAGCTGAACGGAGGCCAAACAACCACATCATGGTTTAGATCACGGCTCCAAACCAGCTGGTGGGAAAGGAACGCATCCTTGTGCTACAGCTTTGATCCAAATCAACCCAACTTGGACCATGGATGGTTGACCGTATGGAGAAACCTTCAGTTTGCAGTCACCATCTTGGCTGCTTTCAGAGCCCAACGCACCATATTCGGTGTAAACAAACTACCATGGCTTACTTGGCCTCTTCCTCCTCCTCTTGTTTCTTCCGCAAGATTGAGAGTTCGGCTTCTCGGACTCTGTTATCTTCAATGGTTTCGTTCACCAACTGCAAGTTCTTGTAGTTGGCAAAAAACTTTTTGACAAAAAAAATGTACATCTGACTCATCCAGAGGTTGAGCTTATCTTTTTCCTCATTTTTCTCTTTTTCGAGCTTTTCTGGAAAAGAAAAAAACAAACAAACGGTAGCAGGAAAGACATGCCTCTATATAAAACCACCTGGCAAAACATGGAGAAGTCAAGGTTTGGCCAAAAATTCTCCAGAAAAGAGATCCAAGTAGCCTAGAAATTTTTTTTCTTCTTCTGTTCAACCGTGTCTTGTTTCTCAGAGACTGCCTGGATAAGTCCCTGCGGTTTTCTTGGCAAGGTTTTTCGGAAAGTGTTTGCCATTGCCTCCTTCCTAGGGCTGAGAGAAATGGGCTGGCCCAAAGTCACCCGGCTGCCTTTGTGGCTAAGGCGGGACTAGAACTCAGAGTTTCCTAGTAACTGGTCTGAAGTCACCCAGCTGGCTTTCATGCCTAAGGCGGGACTGGAATTCACAGATTCCTGGTGATTGGCCCAAAGTCACCCAGTTAGATTTCATGGCTGTGAGACTAGAACTTACAGACACCTAGTGATTGGCCTGAAGTCACCCAGCTAGCTTTCAGGCCTAAGGCGGGACTAGAACTCAGGGTCACCCAGTTTTTAACCTGATGCTTTCACCACTATACCAAACTGCCTCTCTAGAGCTAATCTAGCAGGATGCTGACACCCAGGAAAAGCTGGACTACATAACTCCTGATTCTTGCTCTCTATTTTTCCGATAAGGCCTCCCTCTGCCTTGCCTGGGTACTAATTTGGTAATCAATTTGTAATCTAATTTGGTAATCAATGTCAATTTGGAGTCCGTTTGGAGGCTATTTTGACCAAAGCACTGGCACTACACAATCCTACCCCCCCCCCGTTCCCATAAACACACAGACACACAGCAATCAGTTTAACAATACAAATTGCAGTACCAAGTTAAATCAAATGCCTCCGGATCGATCAAATGATTTTGAAAAGAATTCACTCCCCCCCCCCCAAAAAAAATAACTGATTCAGGAAAAATTGAACTGAAATGAATCTAAAGTCTCAAACACCGAACTGAATGGATGCTCTGATCTACGCCACCGTTTAATGACGTCCCCTGCAAATCTCATGAAAAGCAGCTCATAATGTCCTCCTCTGATATTCTTCTACTGCCCTCCTGTGAGAACATTGGTGCTTGCAGAAATACCCACTTATCCAGTGCATATTCCCAACTGTGTAATCGCACAGCCTGGAAAGTGCATTTGAAACGGGGGAATTTGGAAACTATAGCAGAGGACAAAACTCACCGAAATCCAGACATTTTATATATATGTTTCTCCAGAATAGACTATAAATCAGTTTCATAAGCTAATGTGAACAGATATTCACTTCCCTTATAGCTCACCCCTCAAAAAGCCAACTGATTAAACCTTGCATGAGTTTTCTTCCTTGGGAAACAGAATCTAAGTAAGGAATGTACTTAGACAATAGGAAGGAATGTAGGAAGGCAGAACAAGAAGCAACGGACGGAAACTTATTAAGGAAATAAGGAGAAATTTCCTGACAGCGAGAACAATTAACCAGTGGAACGGATTGCCTTCCAAAGCTGTGGGTCTTTCATCACTGGAGGTTTTAAAGAGGAGGATGGACAACCATTTGTCTGAAATGGCACAGGGTCTCCTGCTTAAGCAGGGGGCTGGTCTAGAAGACCTCCAAGGTCCCTTCCAACTCTTGTTATTCTGTGTGTTTGGCTACTTGGTTTCGTTAAGTTCTTAAAAAGCAGAATCTTCACCCCAGCCTTCTGCAACCCAACACTATCCAAGTTAGAGGAAACCTGGTCTGCAGGAAGGATGGCAGCCAGAATTCTGCTATTGCCTTTGTTTCCAAAAACACCTTGTAAATTTCCAAAAACACCTTGTAAATCTCACACCTGCTAATTCCTTCAAGGGAATTTTATCCAGGTCCCCTAAAACCGGAAGAGGTTCAATGGTTGCTTCTTTCTCTTCCGGGATGGGAGAAAACACGACATTCACAGTTATGCCTGGAAAAGAAAACAAGAAACGGAAGTAATGAACAATCAAACAGTGCTTTGCTTTTTTGGGGGGGGGGGAGATGGGGAAAGCCTCCAGTTATGTTGAAAAAATGCAGAGTTATGATTCCTTTCCCCACCAAAGAGGAGCCGATGACGATCTAGCAATTCAGACGTCCTCCAGTGGCCAGCTATAGGATTACACATGGCGCTAAACCAGGATATATTTTGATTCCATCTTAGGTGGTGAATTAATCCCTGTGTTTTGTAAGGCTGGGAGGGGTGACGGACCCTCAGCTGGCACAGCACGGCAAACCAGGGTACCAACCAATCATAGTCAGCTGGGAAGGTCGCAAAGGGTAATGACACGATCCCGGGATGCTGCAATCATCATAAATACATGCTTGTTGCCAAGCACCCGAATTCTGATCGAGCGACGGTAAGGATACTGCAGTGGTTCTAAGGGCAAGGACCCTTTGTAAGTCTGTGCTGTTTGAATGGGTTTAAGTCAAGGACTGTTTGTAAATTGGGGGGACCCCTTGCCACAGAGCAAAGAGGCAGTGGAGCTTGGAACATGTGGTAGGGAGGGAAAGGGCAAGGACAGACCCTCCCTAGCAAATCCACAGAGTATATCTACACTAGTTGCTTTAGTCTGACAAGATTCTGTCTGTCGCTGAACAGCAGCCAAGACACTACTCCGAAGTAACTCCTTGTGTTGTTCTTGGCTCTTTTGAGCCTGACATTCACCAGGACGACTTCCCTGGTGCCGTTGCTCTTATCTGGAACGTCGCCCCTGGAAAGGGCAAACTCTGCTTCTGTCCCCATTTATATTTCTCCGGAGAGCCGGCCAAAGTTGGTAGATTATTACAGCCTGGAGGTTTTGCGCTCACTTTGAGGAGAGGCAGTTTTTTCTTTCCCGTGGGATTTTCCTTTGTGGGATTTCTCCTCTTTCTTCCCTTCTTTGCTTTTGCCTTTCTGAAAAAAAGAAAAGGTAAAAAAAAATGGGATAAATCGGGGAAGGAAGGAAGGAAAATTAGTGGAGGGAGAGAGGAAAGAAGTTAGAACAAAGAAGGAAGGGTGAAAAAGGAAGAAAGTAAAGAGATAGTGGAAGAAGGGCAGGGGAGAGGGGAAGGAAGGAAGGAAGGAAGGAAGGAAGGAAAATTAGTGGAGGGAGAGAGGAAAGAAGTTAGAACGAAGAAGGAAGGGTGAAAAAGGAGGAAATTAAAGAGATGGGGAAGAAGGGCAGGGGAGAGGGGAAGGAAGGAAGGAAAGGAAAGAAGAAAGAAGGAAAGGAAGGAAGGAAGGAAAATTAGCGGAGGGAGAGGAAAGAAGTTAGAACAAAGAAGGAAGGATGAAAAAAAGAAAATAAAAGGGAAGAAGGGAAGGGGAGAGGGGAAGGAAGGAAGGAAGGGTTAGCAAAATTTGGCAAGGCAGAAATGAAGATACATCCCAGAGAAAGAAGAAGTGATAGAGAAGGAAAGGTGACAGTTTCCCTCAGAATGATGTTGGGACAAGAACTGTCAGAGAGCATCACAATCATCCTCTTCCTCTTCCTCCTCCTCCTCCTCCTCCTCCTCCTCCTCCTCTTCCTCCACTTCCTCCTCCTCCCCCCCTGCAAACCCCACTCCCTTCTAGCGCTGATGATATTGCTTCTTTGAGTAATGAAATGTCTCTAAGAAAATAACCAAGCTCAGAGATCACCAAGAACCCCACAGTTCAACCTTTACAAACCTTCTCTTCTATTGGTAAATATATTTCTCCCCTTGGATTCTGCTAGGAGTCCAGAATGTGATTATGATATCAGGATACCAAAATAAATAAACTGGGTTAGGCTAGAAGACCTCCAAGGTCCCTTCCAACCCTATGATTATTATATGTTCTAAGCAGGGCTTTTTTTTTCTCATAGAACGCCCAGAACGGAGTTCCGGCACCTTTTTTGGGATGGAACCTTGTAGGGTAGGCAAGGCGGGTTGTATGACGTGTGTGAGTTCCGGCACCTTTTTTTTTTTTTTTTTTTAGAAAAAAAGCACTGGTTCTAAGTACATCTGAAAGTAGGTATCATAAGCAAGCTGACCTAGAGAAGGTCCTTGTTGCCTCTTAGAAGGACAGAAAAGGAGAAGATAGAGAAACCTTTTGAGAAAGGAAGCATCAAGTTTTGGAAACCAACTAAGAAGGTCCATGGGGAGAACCCACTATCTCTATAATCAACTGACATGACAGCCGCGTTCCAATATTTGAGGAGCTGCCATAAAGAAGAGGGGGTCCACCTATTCTCTAAAGCACCTGAAGGCAGAGCAAGAAGTAATGAATGGAAGATTACAAAGAGAGACCCAACCTAGAACTAAGGAGAAGTTTCCTCACAGTTAGAACAATCAATCAGTGGAACAGGTTGTCTTCAGAGGTTGTGGGTGCTCCATCACTGGAGGCTTTTAGAAGAGATTGTACAGTCATTTGTGTGGAGTGGTATAGGGCAGGAGTAGGCAACCTTGGCTCTTTTCTGACTCGTGGACTTCAACTCCCAGAATTCCTGAGCCAGAATTCCTCAGCCCCATGCTGAGGGGAAAGGGAGAGGTTTCCAAGCTGAGCCATGCTGGCTCAGGAATTCTGGGAGTTGAAGTCCACAAGTCATAAAAGAGCCAAGGTTGCCTACCCCTGGTATAGGGTCTCCTGTTTGAGCAGGGGGTTGGACTAGAAGACCTCCAAGGTCCCTTCCAACTCTGTTATTCTCATCTTGGAGGGTTGTTCACTTCTCTTCATTTGACTATGCCACCCATCCTGCACCTTGCCAAGGAAATGGGATGCTACCACTATGACTTCCCTTTTTATGGCCTTCAGATTTCTTGGTCTTGCCCACTTCCACGAAATGCACAATCTTGCTTGAGGAATATTTGGGGCCAACTTGGGTGGTGGTGACATCTGTGCCTTCAGTGCTGGCTTCTTCACTGCTGGTGCTTCTAGTATGAACGGACTAGACGTCGAAAACAGAACACAGTGTGACTAGAAGAAGGAAGCAAAGGCACCTATGTTTTCCTCTCCTGTCCCCAAAATCTGACCAGGGCCGGGGCCAGGCCGAACAGCACCTCTCAGCAATTATCTTGGAGAAACACACACATCTCATTAACCACCGATACAGTTTGGCATATTGTCAAAGGTTGCATTCCCACAAGGCAGTTGGCAACTGGTTTTCCACAACACACTAAAGCTGGAGTGTTCAGCCTTGGCAATCTTAAGACTTATGGACTTCCACTCCGAGATTTCCCCACCAGCATGGAGTTCTGGGAGTTGAAGTCCACAAGCCTTAAAGTTGCCAAGGTTGGACATTCGTGCACTAAACCAGGGGTCTTCAAACTTGGCCCTTTGATGACTTGTGGACTTCAACTCCCAGAATTCCTCAGCCAGCGTGCCTGGCTGAGGAATTCTGGGAGTTGAAGTCCACAAGTCATCAAAGGGCCAAGTTTGAAGACCCCTGCACTAAACCCAACACACAGGATCTGCTTGACACACTCAGCCATGAAAAACCTTGTCCAAGGTCACCACTACCTCAACTTAGCCTGCGACTATTTTGTCTCTTCCTGACTTAGTTCTGTGAGGACATCCTAGAGACCCGAACTGGACTAACCTGAGGAGAAGACAATTCCGGAGGCAAAGAGGCAGTTTCGCTCCGTTCTGGCAGCGCATCTGGCCTGTAAGAAGCTGTCACTTCTTGGGCAACCTCTTCAGCCTGCTGCTTCAACATCTCGTCCGTGACATAAAGAAGGGCACAGTCTACCAGAGCTTCAAAGAACTCAAGGAAGACAAGCTGAAAGAGAAACCAAAGAAGAGAAGGCCAAGCAAAGCCGTTGGAGAAGTCCTGCTGGAGAAGGACTCAGGGATAAGATATTGGCAAGGAATCAAATCTGAGGACCAGGCCAAGCTTGAGGAGTCGAAGGAGACACCAGAACGCAAATAAACTTAAGACGATTGAGGGTCTTAAGTGCAAAAAGTCTACCTAAGTTACCCACACATCCATAACTTTCTCTACCAAGTGACTCTGGTAGAAGAAAAAACAGACCCTGGAGACTACAGAACAATCAGCCTAACATCAAGACCTGGGAAGATACTGCAAAAGATAATAATACAAAAAAAAAACAGATCTGCAAACATCTAGAAACGAAGCTATACTGTAACTAGAAGCCAGCATGGGTTTGTTAAAAACAGATCATGCCAAACCAACCTTACCCCATTCTTTACAAAGTGACTAAATTAGTAGACCAGTGAAATGCTGCGGACATAATATATGTAGACTTCAGTTGGACTAGAAGACCTCCGAAGTCCTTTCCAGCTCTATTCTATTCTAAACCTTTTTCTTGAAATTGTCAACCCCAAAATCTTTTTTAAGTTCATACCTCGTGTTCCAGATTGACAGTCTCTGCATCGGAGACCGAAGGATTGTCTTTAGCCAGAATGTCCACAACCTTGGTAGCTGTGAGTTGTTTGGTTATCAGTCTTAAATCCTGAAGATAGAAACCACACGAAAATGGTGGTTAGTTATAACCATGCTTGTGTTAAAAATCCCATTTTGATGATTGATTTATGTGCCACCAAGTTGGTGTCACCTCTTAACCAACCACAAAGATTTCTGGGTCGATCTGTCTCCAAGCTGATCCTTCAGGTGTTCCAACATTATTTCATTAGCCCTTCTGTTGCACTAGCGTATGACCTTTAAGCTTATTTATTTATTATTTCTTTTTCTTCATGGGATTTGGGTTTTAATACAGTGTGAAGCTGCCCGTGATTATGCAGACATGAGGATTGTAATTATTTGCCCATCTAACTAACACTAAAATCTAAGTCATGGCTAAAAGCTGACGCCAACTTGGTGGCCCCTAAATCAATCCTCAAAATGCGATTCTAACTAACAGAATGACAGAGTTGGAAGGGACCTTATACTGTATACCATTTCAGACAAATGCTTGTCCAATCTCTTCTTAAAAACCTCCAGTGTTGGAGCATTCACAACTTCTGGAGGTAAGTTATCCCACTGATTAATTGTTAACAGCCATGATATTACAAAGGAAGGCAAATATACATGTCCCGGGATAATGTTGCAGGATCCAACCTGGATCAGTCACTGGGTCCCGGTGACCCACCCAGATTAGAACCCGCAGCCTTGATATTCCGTAATGGATTCCCATTAGATCAGGCAAAGTTGGTTAAAGATCTATCTGCTGCTACAGCTTCTGAGAGTTAAGATTACTTTCAACATCCACAGGAAGTGCCTCATCGTCATTGTAGGTTCATAAGGAGGCAGAGTACTTGGTCTACAGAACGCCTGGAAAATCTCCCAGCACTTGTCAATGTAACTGAGCACGTAGACAGCTTGCTGTCGGTCACTGAACAGTATACCTGTACAGGTGAGAAGAAGTTGAGCTGATTAGTACAGGGTTACAGTATATAACAACAACAACAATAATAATAATAAAAATTGGAAGGGACCTTGGAAGTCATCTAGTCCAACCCTCTGCTCAGGCAGGAGACCCTATACCATTTCAGACAAATGGCTGTCCAGTCTCTTCTTAAAAACTTCCAGTGTTGGAGCATTCACCGCTTCTGGAGGCAGGTTGTTCCACTATTAATTGTTCTAACTGTCAGAAAATTCCTCCTTAGTTCCAGGTTGCTTCTCTCCTTGATTAGTTTCCATCCGTTGCTTCTTGTCCTGCCTTCTGGCGCCTTGGAAAATAGCTTGACTGCCTCTTCTTTGGGGCAGCCCCTGAGATACTGGAACGCTGCTATCATGTCCCCCCTCGTCCTTCTCTTCATTAAACTAGACATACCCAATTCCAGCAACCGTTCTTGATATGTTTTAGCCTCCAGTCCCCTGATCATCTTTGTTGCTCTTCTCTGTACTCTTTCTAGAGTCTCAACCTCTTTTTTACATCGTGGTGGCCAAAACTGGATGCAGTATTCCAAGTGTGGCCCTACCAAGGCATTGTAAAGTGGTATTAACACTTCACGTGATCTTGATTCTATCCCTCTGTTAATGCAGCCTAGCAAGTTGGACAATGTAAGAGAGGAAACAGGAAGAGGTGAGACAACCAACCAACTACGCAAAACGTGACCCTACCTTTGATACGGCAGGCATTGGGACAAATATTCTTGACCATCAGCTTGGAGAAACACTTGAACAGGCGAGGACTTGTGTCACTACAGTTAGAGGAAACCACCATTATACATTTGTTATTGGGAAAGTTGGCGAAAGCAGCTTCAAAAATTCAAGGGGAAAAAACAATCCAGTTGGTTCTACATCTGAGATGGTATCTACTTACTCAAAATCCTTGTGGTAAATGTGGAAGGATAAGTAAATGAGGTAGGTCAAAAACATCCTAAGGAGCAAAGTTTCATATGGAGAATGAATCTCTTCCAGTAATGTTTTATCTGAAAAACATAAATACCGTCATGCACAGACACAGAGGAAGTTATTTGTCTGTCTATATCTATCCATCATCTATCTGTGCGTATTATCTTTCTACCCCGTCTCCATCTACTTTTTATCTATCTATCTATCTATCTATCTATCTATCTATCTATCTATCTATCTATCTATCATTTGTCATCTATCATCTATTTATCCATCTTTCATCTGTCTGTCTGTCATCATCTGTATCATCTATCCATCTTCTCATCTATCTGTCTCTGTCTGTCTGTCTGTCTGTCTGTATCTATCAACATTTGTCATCTATCATCTATTTATCCATCTTCTCTCTCATCTGTCTGTCTATCTATCGTCATCTGTATCATCTATCCATCTTCTCATCTATCTATCTGTCTATCTGTCTATCTATCTATCATCATCATCTGTCATCTATCATGTATCTATCCATCCTCTCTCTCTATTATCTGTCATCTATCACCTATCCAACCTCTCTCTCTATCATCTGTTTATCCATCCATTTATCCACCCATTATGGGGGGAAGAAGTAGAAGTGAATGGAGAAGGGGTAGAAGGAAAACAGGGAAGGAAAAAGAAGTAGAAAGAGAAGAGGAACAGGAAAAGGGAATAAGGAGGAGGAACAGAAGGAGATAAAGATGGAAAAGAGTTAGAAGAAAAATATAGAGGAAATAGAAAGAAAATTAGAAAAGGAAAAAATAGAAGAAACAGATAATGAGGAGAGCAGAAAGAAATGGAAAATTAAAAGAAAGGGGGGGGAAAGTAAAATTCAAATCTAATTTTGAACCATATTAGGGGGGGGGGGCACTGTTCCTGGAGGCACTGCAATACCAGGTCAATGCGTGGAGTGGATGGAGCAAGCCCCTAGTCCATCTCCTGATTCCAAAAACCCATTTAATACATAGTCCTCAGATAGAGGACATATCAGATATTAAACTGATAAGAACAGATACTACACTTGATCTTAGCCAAAAGGCCGAGAAGCGATACCCAAGGATGGGAGGGAGGCTGAAGGCTTCCTTTCTCTGGAAATTCTGGGTTTGTGAGACAGCATCAGAGTTGCGTACGGGCTAAGTGCAAAAGTCAGGTCAGGCTGGTTCCTGCTCTCAGGAGTAACCTCTGAAAACGCATCGTTTCCAGATCCCACCAGAATGAACTCCTTCCAGTTATGACAATCTGCAGAATTTATAAGACTTTTCTTGATTTTGACAAATTTGGGACTTTCTGCTTTCCCCATTGGTTTTAGATTTGCATTGCTCCACCCCCTACATCTTCATGATTGGTTAGGTTTGCTTTCGATGCGTGGCTGCTTTTTAAAGTTTTCGGAAACTCTTTAGCTTAGATTACGTATTATCATATTATCTTCTACTTCAAAACAACAACACACAACTGGTTTTTGCAAATCATGCTCCCTCTGGCAGAGATTTGGACGTGAATTTTTTTTTTTAAAAAAAGTGGGGGAAATCAGTGTATTCATCTCTCCCGATTCCAACTCATTGCTTCCTGTTTCTAGTTCTCTAAACCTTTTGTCCTTTGAATCCTTTTTCTCTTTCATCCCTTCGTGCAAAAAAAAAGCCGTTTAAAATATTTGGAAAAATTTCCAAAAGGAAAGAAGCAGGTAAGGGGGAGGGAGAGGAAAAATCGCATCAGTTGCAAAAGGACAGCGAGAAAATTTCCATTTGAATGCTTGGAAAGACTGATTGGATTATCTAGTAAAACGCAAAAAGGGTGAGTAACTTACCCAGCTGCTGGGCGTGTTAAAAACAGTGGTGGGGGGGGGGGAGAAAATAAGAAAGAATAGAGGAAGGAGTTGCCGCAATCTATCAAAGGAAGCAAAGTAAACCTTCCATTGAGAGAGCTGGTTTGCTGTAGTGGTTGAGAAGCAGGCTAAACACTGGGAGACGGTGAGTTCCAGTCCCGCCTTAGGTAGGAAAACCAGGTGTATCTATCCTCCTTTCTCATCCCCAGGAAGAAGGCAGCAAGGGTAAACCACTTCTGAAATCTTGCCAAGGAAACTCCAGGGATCTGTTACTTGGGATCAGTTGGCTGCAGAGGTTAAGGCGCCAGGCTAGCAACCGGGAGGCGGTGAGTTCTAGTCCTGTCTTAGGCACGAAGCCGGCTGGGTGATCTAAGTTAGGCCAGTCACACGCTCCGGTTTGAGAAGAATCAGACAGTGGCAAACCATTTCTAAAATCTTGCAAAGAAAACTGCGGGGATTTATCCAGGCAGTCACCAGGAATCAACAATGACCTTAAATCACACACACACAGATACAGACACACAAATACACTTTCCATTGATCCTCCCCCTCCAGGGAATCCCTGGAATTGTTGAGTTAGTAATATGCTTGTTAAGTGAGTCTGACTTTGCTTATCAGAATTCGCAAAAGGGGATCACGTGACCCCTGGATATGGCAATGGTCATAAATTTGTTGCCAAGCGTCTGAATTTTGATCACGTGACCGTGTGAAAAACGGCTATCGCTCACTTTTTTTTCAACGCCCTTGTAAATGCAAACAGTCACCAAATGAACTGTGCCTAAGTTCAGGACTACCTGTACGATGCTTAAATTTGGGGAATGTTAACACGCTTCTAAATGGAACGTCCCCTTGCAGTGGCTCCAGCTCAAAAACCACGAATGGCTTACCAACTAACTAGAGTTTGGGATCAACCAGGGGCTGTGGTAGAGAGAGAGCCATCTCAAAGAAATGGCCTGTAAATAAGAAATAAATACACACCGTTCAGAATCCGGTCCATGGAGGCGAGCGTCTGGTTGCAGTAATGAAATCTGCAGTCCTTCAAGAACCTCCAGAACTGAAGCTTGGTCATCAGAAAGGTGTTGTCCAGGGAGTGGTCATAGCCCAGGCTGCTGTAAAAGGTGTAGATTCTCCTCAGCTCAGAGATATATCTCAGCACGGCGTATTCGGTCTAGGAGAAGCAAAGCACGAGTCTCAAGAATAAGAAAGGAGGATTGAGATGGCCACTACTGATGTTTATGTCATGGTTCTGACTGACGAACCCAACCGAGCAAACGCCTTCAAGACATTCCAATCTCTTAATGTAAAACTTTATTGAGTACACTAAGCTGGCACATTGTGAAAGCAAAATCAGCTCTGACCCCACCTAAAGTCCTATAATAAAAGCATTAGAACTCTTCGGCCTCCTTCTGGGTCAGGTCACGTTGCCCAATCAAGTAAGAAAATATTGTTATGGAAAAGCATCTTCAAATCTACCCAGACGCTAGGTAGAAATTTGGTCTGGCCTCTTGATCTTCGTAGCTCACATTCCAATCCCTTTCCTCCCCCCGCCCCAGATTGGTTGGCAAGTTGAGAAGCAATAATTTCCACACCAGCAAGACTGTGCTTCGAAACTTGACAATTTAAGCTAGTAGGGTACTGGAGATGTAGGGAATCCTTGGTGCTTTCTGAGCTTGGTGGTTTTCTTGCAGATGTTTCACTACCAAACTGGGTAACATCATCAGTGCTAGCTAACTAGTTGAGTAATGAAACATCTGCAAGAAAACCACCAAGCCAGAGAGCACCAAGGACCTCACGGTTCAACCCTGAGTTACAAATATTCTCTTTTATTGGTACTGGAGTTGTCTGATGAGTCTGCTGGTATCCCTTTCAAGCACAGAAGAAGACAATTCTACACAACATCAGCCTCTCATGTTGCTTTGTGAAGCTTCTGGATTTTGTAAATCGTGGACATCACTCCCAAACAGCCCAAGAATTTGACTCTTTTATTCATGGCAACGACGTTTTCCATCGTGGCTGAAGATCACCATCCCTCTTAGCCTTTTTCTCCTCTGTTAGTGTCTGTTTTATTTACCTCTTCTAGGCCACAGAGTTGTGTAGACCAGCTTCCCATACCTGTTTCATTTCATCCTCCCTGTCTTTTTCCGGAAATATAGCCAACAAGGTTGATAGATCTATTTCAATGTTTGGTCCCGACGAAGAGGAACTCCTTGAATGATCCACAACTTTGACACTATCTAAGGCAGTGAAAAAAAGAGAAAATGTCAAAGGCATCCGGTCTCTATTGCAAACTTCTTTAAAAGTAAGACCCGATCGTGAAAACTCAGGGCATCCACAGAAAGGATAAACACAAACACAAATCCCTTATTTTTTTTTAAAAAAAAATCATACTTGCATTCTTTCAAAATATGCCTTTATAAACGCGTTCTTTTCTTCAGTATTTTGAAACTTACTCATTATATTTTATGAGCTGAGCGGGGTTTCAAGAGAGTGGAGGAAAACTTGTCGAAACAAAACTCAGATAAATATTGCATCCATTAAAATTGGTCGATCTCAAACATACTAAGCAGGGTTGACCTGATTAATATTGGGATGGGACGCCTACGGCCCTGAAGTCAACAAAGGTCTTCGGGGTTAAGGGACCATCTTAGACAAAGCTCATCCAGTCTAATCTTTTCTTCCCTCTACTTCGAAGCAGCTCACCTATGCCAGAAAAACCCTTCAGAGGAAGGTTGCTCAGCTCTTCCATGTTGGTCATGTCAATTTGCAAGGACGGACACTCCGCTATGTGATCGTAGTTAAAGTCGCCTTCGTACACCCGGCCGTTCTTGAAGACTAGCTTGCCCTGAGGGAAAAAGTAATTGCTCGTAGCTGCTCTGCTTTTAAAACCTGGTCTTTTCAGCTGCTCTGGACGTTCTCACTCTTTCCCAGGACCTCTCCAGGCTTACCTTGCCATGCTTTTTGTTCAGCACCCATTCTCCATCGTACATGGCGCCACTGGCAAAGAAGAATTTTCCGTGTCCGTGCCGGTCGCCGTTGACGAAGTCTCCAACGTACTCATTCCTCAGGGGATACTGTGACCCAGCTATCCTCTTCAGATACCAGGTATGGGTACCCTGCCCGTGCTAGGGAAATAAATCAACAGAATGTTCTCTAGAGCAGTGTTTCTCAATCTTAGTTGGCTTGAAGGTGTGTGGGCTTCAACTCCCAGAATTCATGCTGGCTGGTGAATCCTGGGAGATGAAATCCACACATCTTAAAGGTGCTGAAGTTGAGAAATACTGCTTGTCCTATGGGCCAGGGGTCTCCAATTTTGGCAACTTCAAGACACTTGGACTTTGACTCCCAGAATTCCTCAGCCAGCATGAATTCTGGGAGTTGAAGTCTACAAGTTGTAAAGTTGCCAAGGTCGGAGACTCCTGATCCATAGGTTCTACAGAGGGAGACATGTGGACTTTTAACACATCTAACTAGGCCATTGTTTAGACATCCAAATGAATTCTGTATCCAAACTTTGAGAAACAAGGTCTAGAAAGACCCTCAGGTCCATACAAGACTAAGCCATAACCATCTATGATGGTGATAATGATATTATCCATTCAGTCGTGTCCAACTCTTGGTGATTTTATGGGCCCAGTTTCTCCACATCTTCCAATCTTGCACTACTTCTTTGAGTTGTTCTGTGCTCTGGCTGGTGTCAGTTTGATGGTCTTCAGCCACCATGTTCTTTGATGGCCTGGTTTCCTTTGACTGCTAACTCTTCCCAACATAATTGCTTTCTCCAGTGAATTCCCCCACCTGACGTGGCCATAACTATGTATAGTTGGAGGAATTGGGAAAAGAAGAACTGCTCTATTTGGCCTCACCTGTATGCCATTAACCCAGTTCCCAGTATATTCCTGGTTAGATGTTAGCCACCTCATCCGTCCTTCTCCATGGCGCAGGTCTCTCTCCCACTGCCCTTCGTAGATATTTCCAGATTTGTAACTGTTCGAAGAGATAGAGAAGAACATCAACACCAGAGTTCAGTAAACAGAGGGGCATTATTTTAAGGCAGACCAGGCCTTCCTAACCAGGAACCTTCCAGATGGCGGTTCAGCTCCCAGCATCTCCATCTAAAATAGCCCCGTTTTTTGCTGAAAATTCTGGGACAGGTGGTTTGTGTAGATCAAATGTACATACATCACAAGCTTTCATCCCATTAAAAAAAATTAAAATACGCAGAAGCAATTTTCTTCAGGAACACCATTGAATTTGAAGCCTTGTCATCCCTTCCCTTCCCCAGCATGGCTGGCTCAGGAATTCTGGGAGTTGAAGTCCACAAGTCATAAAAGAGCCAAGGTTGCCTACCCCTGGTATAGGGTTTCTTGCTTGAACGGGGTTGGACTAGAAGACCTCCAAGGTCCATTCCAGCTCTGTTATTCTGTTATTCCATTATTCCGTTATTCTGTTATGTAGCCCCTCTAAAAGTGTCCATCACATTCTAACTTCCACACAGAGAAGGAATTATTGTCTTACCATCTTATTCCCCATCCACTTTTTACATTGTTCACAAAGTCTCCTTCATACCAAGAAGAACCTGGTTCGTTGTAGTAAATGGTACCCTGAAAATCAACGGCACAAACACTTTTTAAGAGTTTAAGAAAAAAACTCTTAAGCACCTTCCATCAGGTTTTACACAAGCAGAAGACACGTTACGTTACTAAAAATATTTCGGATTAACCATCGGTCTGCCAATAAGCCAGCTCCGAGATTTACCTCTTTGTGGCTGTTCGAAGGAAAGGTCAGGAAGAGGATTTTAAGTTGATGCTGGATGTGACAGCCATGATTTCTACAAAGGAGAGTTTTCTGCCCAGAATCCAGTCGTGGCAACTACAGATAACTTCATACTTATAACCACAAGTGAGATCAAAATTTCTGTTGCTAGGCGAGACACTGGTTAAAGTGAGCATTGCCCCATTTTACAACCTTTCTTGCACAGTTGTTAAGTGAATCACTGCAGTTGTTAAGTGAGTGACATGGTCGTTAAGTAAATCTGGCTTTCCCCATTGACTTTGCTTGTCAGAAGGTTGCAAAACGGGATCCCGTGACCCCAGGACTCTGCAACCATCATAAATACATGCCAGTTGCCAAGCATCTTGGGTTTTGATCACGTGACCATGGGGAGGCTGCAACGGTCATAAGGGTGGAAAAACGGTCCTAAGTCACTTTTTTTCAGTGCTTTTGTAATGGTCACTAAATGAACTATCGTAAATTGAGGACTCCCTGCGTGCTTCCAGTGGCTACGTTTTCACTACCTTTCCATGTCTTTTGCCTTCCACCCAGTGGCCGATGTACGAAACGGGATAGGTGCCACATTTGTACATGCCAAAGCCGTGTCTGATCCCGTTCTTCACTTCGCCTTCGTACAGGCTGCCGTCCGGCCACTTGTAAGTGCCACGGTCCATTTGCACGTTCTTGACGAAGTTTCCCTGCAAGAGAAGGAAGATCTAGGAGAAAGAAAATAAGGCTCGCTCTCTTCCTTTTCCCCTGGAAAGGTAGGAAAATTCGACAACGTTGAGCAGGAGTCTCCAAACGTGGCAACTGGTGGACTTCAACTCCCAGAATTCCCCAGCCAGCCAGCCATTTCATACAAGGGGTTGTCCAATCTCTTCTTTAAAAAAACTCCAGTCATGGAGCACCCACAATTTCTGGAAGCAAGCCGTTCCATGGATTAATTGTGCTAACTTTGAGAGGTCCTTGGTGCTCTCTGAGCTTGCTTGTTTTCTTGCAGACGTTTCATTACCCTAACTAAGTAACATCATCAGTGCTAGTAAGGAGTCCTTACTAGCACTGAGGATGTTGCCTGGTTAGGGTAATGAAACGTCTGCAAGAAAACAAGCAAGCTCAGGGAGCACCAGGGACCCCTTATTTCAACCCTGAGCTTCAAATATTCTCCTTCATTGTTCTAATGTTCTCTTTAGTTCTAGGCTGCTTCTCTCCTTGATTAATTTCCATCCGTTGCTTCTTGTCCTGCCTTCAGGTGCTTTGGAGAACCTCAATCCTAAATCTGGCGTACGTGCTTGCAAGTGTCCATCTTTCCTTTGTTCTGATTTGCAAGCAGTTGCAAATCTGGCTGACAGTGGAGCTACTTACCTCGTACTGCACCCCGTCGGTCCATGTGTAAGTCCCTCGCCCGTGCATGAGTCCTTCCGAAAACATTCCCTACAAAATGGCAAAAAGCCAATGAGTGGGTGCCACGATTCCTCAAATCACAGAACAGCAAGAAGAGTCAGATCTCCACATCTCTGTCAAAAGAGTAAGTCGGCCCTGGTTTTCTCACCAGGGTTTAGTTCAGGCCACCCTTTCAGCCCACGCACAGGAAATAAAAGAAGCTAGTCTTTAAATCCACCCTACTCCTCATAGAAATAGTGAAACGGCCTATCACGCCAAAGGAAATTTTATATCCTTCAGATTTAACACAGATGTTGTCACCTTGTAGATGTTGCCTCCTTGAAAATAGGCCGTTCCTTCCCCTTCATATAATCCACGGATCTTTTCTCCCTCGTAACTATGGAGAACATAAATTCAAGATGAAAACTCACCTGGATTAATAAATCATACTGTGCATGCAGCCATTTGGGGCATGGTCAAGTCAACTTGTGCTGGCCACGCCCACCCCCCAGACTTATTTTTGGGGTAGGGCTTACATTAAGCCCATCCCACCAAAAATCAGGCTAGGGCTTATTTTCGGGAGGGGGGTCTTATTTTGGGGAAAACACAGTAGACCAAAGTGGCTCTATGTTGTGTGAATTCAGCCGTTGTGATGCACTCATCCTGGATTATGCTGTAGCACAGTGAGCAAAACAAGCCACAATGGTTGATTTGGCAAAAGTCTTGTTTGTTTGTCGGTTGGTTGAATTACTAGATTTGTATGCTGCCCATCTCCCTCCCTCTCTGTCCAAAACTGGAAGAAGAAGAGCTTTCTGCCACCTGCCCTTTCTCCCAGATATCTGGGGATCCCCACACCAGAATTTCAACCAGCTGGTGAGGCCTTCTGGACGCTGAGGATCCAACACATCTGGAGGGCACAAACCATCAAAAATCACCAGCAGGAACTCAGCCAGGCTCCAGAATTGGTCAGAAAACTCCTTGGATACCAGTCACCTGTGGCTATACCCTACTTTTAGCAAGACTCTAGTTTTACCTTTCAACAATCAGTTGGGTGAGGATGGGTTCTTCATACTCAATGGGTTCAGGGACAAGAGGAAGCTCTAGATCTTTGTTTTCTTCTTTGGAAGTTATCCGAGTAGCCGAGTGCTCGTCCCCTTGGTCTGCCAGAGGTGGGACATTCTGGTTGGAGACTGCTAACTCGATGGAGGTGTCGTGGGCTGGAGCAGATGCGGCCTTCTCTCCCTTTTTGCTGTCTTTCTTCTTATCTTTACCCATCGCTCCGTCGTAGGGCAGAATGAGGCGTCCTTGCCAAGACTGGAGCTCCTATTTTGAACTTCAAGGTGGGAAAAGAAATATTTTGTTAGGAGAGAGAGAAATGACTGAACGAGGTATATATAGGTGGTCCTTGACATATGATCACAATGAGACCAGGATTTCAGTCGCTAAGCAAGGCGGTTATTAAGTAGGTCACGCCCAATTTTACGACCTTTTTGCCATGGTTCTTAAGTAAATCAGTACAGTAGTTAAATGACTCACATGGTCAATAACATTTAAACTTAGCAAGTTTATTACCTATTTTCTTCATTGAGCAATTTGGATGATCCTGAACGTAATAAAAATGTATTTTGACCAGAAATCTAGTGGAATAAATAAAACCTGATCCATAATAAAAAAAAATTGTAATTTTTATAGGCATTCAAAGAATGTACTGCTTTGTAACATAGCTAAACATACACTAAAAAGGCCTAATAGAAATAGGAGATATTAAATTTATTTTATGTTGCTTTGTTACAAAGAAAAGTCTATTTCAGAAAACTGTCCTATAGATTTATTTATTTTTTTCAGAAATTCACTTTTATTTCGGCCACTTCCCTTTTACTATACAAATGGGCCAGCTGAATGCACAGCCTAGCTGCAGAAATCCTTTTCAATACTTGCTTCTTAAAACTTCAGTTTAAAGTTTATAACTTTATAAAAAAGCTTTTCACCGTGCTTCTAGGTATTAATGTTAAACTGCGCATTTTTGTGATATTTTTCTTAGTTTTCTTAGCTCTTGAATTTTCCTTTGTAAAGCCAATTTATGTACATAAACAGTTAACATTCTTCACCCTGCTGGACCTCTTTCAGGTTTGGCCCTTTTTCAAGTGGATCCTTTATCATTCCCCCCCCCCCCAAGAAAATATGGTCATAGCACACGTTTGGTGTTTTTTTTTTTTAAACGGACCTCTTTGTAAAAACTGGGAGTTTTATCTCATTGTTATTGTTTTTAATAGCCTTTGGATTTTAAGGCCTTTTGGAAAAAATGTTTCTATTCTGGAAAGCAACATTTGACAATCCCAAATTGTCCACTCAAAACTGTAACCCTTTAAGCAACTTTTAAGGCCTTTTAAGAACAAAACAGAGAGAGACCCAGAACTGACCCAGATTTGTGCAGATCGGACTCAGTAATGAAAATAACAATAACAATTAGCCCCAAATCATTGCAACTGACAGCAGGCTTGGACCTTGCTAGCAATCACAGGAATAGGATGGGGATTTGGGGAATTGTAGTCCTTGAGGTGCTGGGCAGCAAATGCAAACTTGAAAGCTATGAAGAAAATAACCAATAAAATAAAATAAAATAAAATCCACCTCTTTGGAAATCCCTGCTATTTTGCAACCCTTCGCAAAAACGGCCTGAAGTTTCTCTGCGATGCCAGTTGCTAAGAGGTCTGAGCTGTTGCCATAGCAACCGTGTGTAGGCTGGGCGGTGGCCATAGCAACCACGGGGCGGGGGGGGGGAGAGAGAAAGAGAGAAGCTTACTGGTTGTTCAGAAAGAAGTGGGCGGGGCTTTGGCCATCTTTTCCGGGTTTACTTTTTTGCCTGGTGTCGTTTTGAGAAAGACCCGGCCCAATTGCACAACAGTACACAACGCCCCACCTTTTAGAAAGTTGTCTGTTTGTGTATGCATCACATTGAGAACACAGAACATAAAAGGACAGGGTGGGACGGGGCCTGGGAGGTCTTCTAGTCCAACCCCCTGCTTGAGCAGGTCTTCCAGATAAGTGGTTGTCCAATTTCTTCTTCATGGCTATAAAAATTGCAGGTATTTAGAAATATCAGCTACGATCACAACTTCATTATTTAATTAGAATATTAACTTTTTATTCTTTACAGGCCATCTGAGATCGTTCAGGTCTGCCCACTCTTGGCTGCGATTAATTGGATGCTTTCAAAATTATTCTTTGGAAAGATGTTAAGAGGCACAAAGATATTTTTTTTTAATATTAGATTCTAGTTAATGTTACAAAGAAGTTGATCCAAAGGATGTCAGGTATATTCCAAATCAGCCGGGCTCCGACTTTAGAAATGGCTCAACTCCTCTCGTAGTTATTAAAGCTAAACAGATGCCATTTTAGAAGGGAAATTATTGCTTTTCTGATACCCAGGAACAAGAGAGTCAAGTTAGGTTCAGTAGATTAGAAAGGAATTTAAAGGCAAATGTTATGCTCAAAGCAATGAAGATTAAAAGTGCCAATTGGAACATGAATTAACGCTGCCGTCGCTATTAAATGGAGGGCGAATTTCAGAAAATCTGTTTTGTAGAAACAATCTGCGAATATCAAACCACAGGCCCACAGATTATTCTATTTAAGTGTTTTTCAAGCTTGACAATTTTCAGATGCATGGACTTCAATTCCCAGAATTCCTCATGCTGGCTGGAGAATTCTGAGAGTTCAAGTCCACCCCTCTTAAAGTTACTGAAGTTGAAAAATACTGTTTCCATTGTAACTTCTATAGAGGGACACATGGAGCTTTTAACACCTCTAACAAGGCCATTCTTAAGACATCCAAATGAATTCTATATCTAGTGTCATCTGGTAGATCAGGATTCTAAAATAACACAAATTGTTGCAAAGATTACGTTAGCAGTCTGCAGAACTTGTGCTTTGATTTTGGTAAATCAATTGTTGGCTGTACTGTATACAGTACTCCTGAAAATATGAGAGTGTATCGTTTTATTGTATTCCCCCCCCCTCTTTTCTCTATCTCAGTTTATTACAGGTGATCTGACTGGCTTGTATGATGGGTCTGGGACCTGTAATAAAGTAACCGATTGATTTAAAATGTATCATTCATTCACAATTAGACAAATCAGATACTAAAGGCTGCACCAGAAGAGAATTGCTTAAGCCTTTCATTGTCTAGTTACTAAAATGCTGTGACACTATAAAATTCACAACTGGCATTAACCATCTCTTATTATACCATAGGAACAGGCCATCCCATTTTATACTATAGATGTGAACCACTATTAAACCACAAAGAAATATCATGTATAAAAATCTTTATTTACAAAATGGATCTGGTCTAAAGCAGGAAGTCATCCAAAGAGCCTACTATGTACATTTAATTCTTACTGTCCAGAGGAAATCAATAAAAGGGACAGAAAGCCAATATTTATACAAAGGTAGCAATAAAACCAGTCCTGTTTTCTGGCTGCTTTTTCAACAAAAATGTGAAAAAGTCTTCTTTCAGAGGGCAGAGGATGGAAAGTTATCGTGTCTATATGAACCAAACCCGTTTGAGAAAGAAAGAGGGAGAGAGAAAAAAAACACATTCTTCTTTTGCAACACAAAACCATGATTTCAGCTTCTGGTCCAGCAAAACCGAGAGCTCCGATGCAAACTAGATCATGGTTTGCATTCCACAATAAAATAAGTGCTAGTAGCCTGTCACTCTTGTGTGATGAGGTCCAGGTTGGCTAAATGTCGTATGGTGGGCCTGCCGTGCGGACAGTTCCAAGGATGCTCAATTTCACCCATGTGAGTAATCAGCTTCTTCATTTCACCGGCCGTGAGTGCGGTTCCAATCATCACCTGTAACAGGAGCAAAGTTGAAAGTTCAACATCCATTCCTTTTAGCTCATCTGCTCCCTTGTTCCTTGAAATAACCCCACTCAGGATCCTTTTCACGGAGGGTTTCTAGAGCAGGGCTCCCCAATCTCTGGGCCAGGGCCCACTAGTGGGCTGTGAGATGTTTGCCACCAGGCCACGGAAATGGGCAAGCGAGCACTCGTACATCTTCGCCTGCAGGAGGAACGGGCGAGCGCGTGCACGCCTGCTCCATTTGCGTGAGTGGTGGGCCCGCCTGCATGCCGCTTGTGTAAATGGAGCTGCGTGCGCGTGTGAGTGCTTGCCAGCCGCTTGCGCAGAACCATCCCTCCCCGTCCCCCTCACACCGGCCTTGAAAGCTGGAAAGGTTGGGGAACTCTGGGACATGCACAATGAAGAGGGATAGACAGTCGAGTTCGTTTAGTGACATTCAGCATGGAAAAAATGACCGTTCGGAGTTACAACGGCATTGAAAAAAAATGACATAGGACTGTTTTTCACACTTACAGCCCTTGCAGCATCCCCAAGGTCACGTGATCAAAATTCAGGCGCTTGGCAACTGATTCATATTTATGACAGTTGCAGTGTTCTGGGATCATGTGATCCCTTTTGCGACCTTTTGGCAAGCAAAGCCAGATTCACATCCCTCCCTCCCTCCCTCCAAGCTCAAGTCTGCAGTACTTGCTATACTTACAGATTTTCGACAGGCTCTAGAAGCAAACATTTGCCTCACTCTGGATGGCCTACACATGATTCCCGGAGAATCGCTTAACATGAAGATTAATTCTTCTATGTCTTGAGGACCGAATGTCCAGTTTTTGCTGGTTGGTAAAGATATGAGCTTCGCTCTCTGAGTTACAGGAGCTGAAAGGTTTTCAAAATAACATCACTGTCACAGTCTCTTTACACTGAGATAATATTTCAACATATTATCCACCCAACCCAGCCCAACTGCTCATGTAATAATTGTCACTTGGGAGCTAAATCTTGAAGGTTAAGTTTTAAACTGAGTGTATTTTTTTTCCCCCGCAGGAAAAGAATATCCGATTGAACTCCAATTTCAAAGCGGTTAAAAGATCACTCTTTCAGACAGATTTAAAACGGAATTGTTTGGCGTGCTAATTTTTCCCATTTGAATTACTGGAAAGATGTTTCGGACTTCCAAAGCAGAGACGATCACTTTCTCCCCATTTCCTTTTACAAAAGCTAGGAGAGATGGTAGGTAGGATAGAACTCACCATTTTCATCCACCACAAAATCAAATCCATTTTTTTGGAAAATCTCCAGATTATCCATCAAGATACTTTCACTCACAGCCGTTAAATTAAGATTTTGAGGCCTGAAAAAGTGGGGCACCGAAAAAAGAAAACAACCACCGTTAAATCTGAAAGCAGCCCTTGTGGAACTGTGTGTATTGTGTGTATGTATATATGTATAAGATAGACAGTGTGTGTGTAGACAGAGTGTGTCAATAGATATATGGATGGATGGATAGACAGACTGACAGAGAAGTAGGTAGGTAGCATGTGTGTGTGTGTAGATAGATAGGCTGTGTGTGTGGATAGATAGATAGATAGATAGATAGATAGATAGATAGATAGATAGATAGATAGATAGATAGATAGATAGATAGATAGATAGATAGATAGATGATAGATTTTCTGTGTGTGTATGTTCTGTGTGTTTGCTTGTTCAGGAAACCCCCAGAAAAAGTGGGGAGAACAGACTTACTTGATGAGCTTCTGCCCCTGCAGGGTGGTGTGCTCTTGCAACATCTCAAAGTTGTATTTTTCATCGGTAGCGTGCTGATCAATGATAAAGAGGTCCGATTTCAGCTTGGCGATGATAAATCCCAGATTAAACTGGCCAACTATATCCATTTTAGCAAACATCTCTTTGCTGTATGCATAGGGAGAAACACAAGAGATACGTGGACTGTCAGACCTGCCTGCTCTTTACAGCCTGGTTTTTCAATTCTCGAATCCAGAACTCTTAATATCCTCACGGAGGTAACCCGTCATCAATACTTTGCTACACAAATATGGCTAATTTAACCCTCAGGTCGAAGGCCGGATTGTGCTTTCTTGCATTTACACACACACACACAATAGCAAGAAGAAGCTACGTCAATGGGGGAAGCTGGATCTGCTTAAGGATCGAGGTGATTCGCTTAACAACAATGGCACGAAAAGTAATCAAGGATAGAAGCAACCTAGAACTAACAAATTTCCTAATAGTGAGAACAATTAACCAGTGGAACAGCTTGCCACCAGAAGTTGTGGGTGCTTCATGAAGGAGCACTGGAGGTTTTCAAGAAAAGACTAGACAACCATTTGGGACTGGACAGCCATCTTCTGTCTGAAATGGCATAGGGTTTCCTGCTTGAGCAGGGGGTTGGACTAGAGGACCTCCAGGGTCCCTTCCAGCTCTATTCTGACTGAAACATACAAACTTAGCATCGGTTAATAACATTTCTGAGAGCGCTTCTCTTCTCTGGCAAAGACAGACGAGCTGCAATACCTGATTTCCTTTCTTAACTCGTCCTCCGCCATTTTGTTTTCTTCCGGGCTAATCTTTGCCCTAAACTTTCTGAATTTCAGCATTTCTCCGTCCGTCTCCTGGCGCTTTATTTGCCTCCGGATTCGGTCCGCCAAGGTGCTCCAAGAGACGGCTAAAGGCACCGTCCTCTTTTCCATTTTTACCGGGATGTCGTACAAGGGTTGCGAATCCTGCTCGGCTGTTCTCTCCGAGAAGTTGGGGGAAACAGCTTGATGGATCTTAAAACGTTTTGCCTTGGGAGAGAAAATGGCTGGCTGAGAGAAGCTATTATCTTCTTTGCCCTGGTTTGGTTCGGAGGGCCAGAAAACCCCGCTAGATCCACCGTCGCTGCTCTGAATTCCTCCGCTAAAAACACGGGGTTCTCCTTTGGGAGAACCCGCCGTGCTTTCAGCTCTAAAACAGACCCCCATCTCTGGGGTGCCAAAACCGCCATCTGACTCGGCGGAGACGCTCCCCACACCAGAATCCGTATCTTCGGTTGAGTTCTCCAACTTCCTGCCTGCAAGCCAGGATTTCCTGGAAATGACCTCATTCCCGTCTTCGGATGCCTTGCCAGGCATGGTTTTCTTTCGGGGAGAGGCTGAAAAACCAGCAAACATCTGGCGTAGTCCTAAATTGGGGGGCCTCTCTTTCGGTGGGGCTTTCTCGCTGTCTTGAAAAGCCGATGTTTTCCCGCGAGAAAAGGACTCCTTCAGACGAGCAACGGCGAGGTTTATTCTGGATGCCTCGTTCCGATCTGGAGGCGAAGGGCTGGTGGATGTTCCCAAGGGAGATGCTTCCCTCTCGTTTCGGGGAACGCTTTTCAAGTTCCCTGCAAAAAAAAAAAAGGTATGAAGAGAGAACCGTTGCGATCTTCTTAGTACATCTGTTGCTAAGTGAGCCCCTCGTCACGTGAATTTTCCCCTATGTTATGACCTTTCTTCCCACCGTTCTTAAGTAAATGACTGCACTAGTTTATTTATTTAATGAATTTGAACTTCCCCCGTTGACTTTACCGGTCAGAAGGAAAACAAAAGGGGGATCACGTGATCCCGGGACACTGCGACCGTCATAAATATGAACCAGTTGTCAAGTGTCTGAATTTTGATCACGTGACCCTGGGGATGCTGCAAAGGTCCTAAGTGTGAAAAACGGTCATAGGTCACTAAATGGACATTTGTAAGTTGACTACCTATACAACAACAAAGAAAATATAAAAGCGTCATTAAAAAAAAAATCATAAAATTCTGTCCTACTCTGCTCTGTATGGAATGGATCATAAACTTCCAGCTAGCTCAGGTGTCTTCAGATGTGGCCCTTTTATGACTGGTGGACTTCAACTCCCAGAATTCCTCAGCCAGCAATGCTGGCTGAGGAATTCTGGGAGTTGAAGTCCACCAGTCATAAAAGGGCCACGTTTGAAGACCTCTGCTTTGGATAGTTCCTATTCCACAGATCCTCTAAGGCAGGCTGAGGAATTCTGGGAGTTGAAGTCCACCAGTCATAAAAGGGCCACGTTTGAAGACCCCTGCTTTGGATAGTTCCTATTCCACAGATCCTCTAAGGCAGGCTGAGGAATTCTGGGAATTGAAGTCCACCAGTCATAAAAGGGCCACATCTGAAGACCCCTGAGCTAGCTGATAGGGGAAAATCTGAGCTCTTGTTATCTGACTGTCTGAAAAGACGCAGGTAAAAATGCAAATAGGTTTTGCTTAAATAGCGACTTGATTTCTTACCTTCAAGATCGATCAGCTTTTGATTGACGACCAGTTTATTAACGTCAGTGCCAAACATCCCCATCAAGGATGTTTTTAGGATTGCTAATAAAAGCTTCTCTTCTTGAAGCAAGATCTGCCTTTTATCTGGAGTTACGTTGACGTCCACACATCCTGAAATCAAAACGTTTCACCATTCTTTAGATATTTTTCTCTTGCTTCGCAGCTAACGAATGGACTCCACCCCTGAGGCTCATTATGACAATTTTGTAGTCCTTATCAGAAAAGTATGGTAATAATTAAGTGGGCCCATTATCATAATTTATGGGCCCATTATCATAATTTACAAAAAGATGGGCTAACAATTGATAAAACTCACCAGATTCTGCACAGATGTTAAGAACAATAAATGGATATTGGTGCCTATTATACATATGATAGACTTCATTCACAAGTCTGGAAACCTGTTCAGAAAAGGAAAAATAAGAACGTCAGTTGAATTTGGTTGGGATTTAAAAAGATCTAAAGCAGTGTGATTTAGTCACCTTTTGAAGTTACAACAGCACTGAAAAAAAAGGACTTATAATTGTTTTTCACACTTGGGATTCGAAAATGGAGGATTATGCGTACAGCCACAAGAGCAGAATCAAAAGGGAGTCGGAAAGCCAGAGAGAAATTTTTAATGTCAATTTAAAATTGAGAATTTACCTCTGCAAGGGAAAAAAAACACACATACCTTTCCTGGGTCACACGGCCGCTGGTTAATGAAAAAGAACTGCCTATCCGTTGTGCTCCTTCCATCGCCGTGATTGGACTGCGAAACGAATCCTGAGATGCTGTTTAAAAAGAACATTGTCGAGAAGAGAATCCCACAAAAACAAAGCAGACCAAAAAATCACTTGACGTATTTAAAAAAAGGATCTAAACGAACTTCCGGAAAATCTCCCCTTCAACTTATGACCATAATGGAACGTTCTCGATATGGTTGCAAGTTGTGTCGGTCGTAAAGGGGTGTGTGTGTGTGTGTGTGTCATCACATGACTGACCTGATTTGACACAAACGCCGTAAATTGTGGTTGTGTGACTACAGGACACCGGAAATAGCCGTAAATTCCGGCCAGTTGCTGAAGTATGATCTATGACATGGGGGTGGGGGCCTGGCCATCAGAACCAGGTCATAAGTACCTTTGGGGAGGGGGGGGTCTCTCGTAATTTCAAAATGGTCGCTAAGCAACTGGTTGTAAAATGAAGATTACCTGTATTGTTCTTTTGGGGGTTTTATATGTTGCATATATGTTGTCCTTGGCAGCGCTGGGTCTCTGGTTTTTAAGCCCCCCTCCCCAAAAAAACAAACAGAAAAAAGTTCCAGGAAAAAAAATCTTTCCAATTTTTAACTTACGTATAAAGCTTGGTGGGCAGAGCAGAAACGTTCAAGCCGTATTCTTCACAGGTTTCTCCGCTCGGGGGCAGTTGTACAAAGGGAATCAGGGTTTGTACCTAGGAACAAAATAACAAGCTATACTAGTGAAATGGAATTCCCAGCTGCTCAAATTTGCAAACCATCATGCCCCATGCCAGAGTCACACCAACCACATTATGAGGGGTCCTTGGTGCTCTCTGAGCTTGGTGGTTTTCTTGCAGACATTTCATTAACCATACTAGGTAACATCATCAATGCGAGAAGGAGAAAGAGGAGGAGGAGGAGGAGGAGGAGGAGGAGGAGGAGGAGGAGGAGGAGGAGGAGGAAGAGGATGATGATGATTGTGTGGTCCTCTGAGCTTGGTGGCTTTCTTGCAGACATTTCATCACCCAAACTAGGTAACATCATCAATGCGAGGAGGAGGAGGAGGAGGAGGACGACGAGGAGGAGGAGGAGAATTATGGGGTCACCAATCTTTTCTTACCTGCTTGTGTCCAAATATGGCACCAATGTTTTCTTTTAAAGTAGAACTTCCACTGGTGCTCACCACAGCCTGCTTCTTCCCTTGACCAACTTGATTGGTGCAATTAATTCGAACCCCAGTGCAAATGATGCAGTACGCTTGCAGTATCTGAACCATTTTGGCAAACTCCTTGGGGTGTGTAAAAGAAAAAAAAAAGTTACACTCCTTTGGGCGTGTGTGAGAGAGAAAAAAAGATTATTCAATCAGATCTTTATTACGATCAAAGGCCAGCACATATTTGATAGTGAAACCATTATTACAAAGAATTTAGGATGACGAGAAGAAGTCTACATTATGCATGTAGGCCGAAAGTCCCGATTTAAATATAAATTTATATTTAATTAATTTACATCTCAGAAAGGGCTGGTAATGCTTTATTTTAAGCCTGTGGGGCTTGCCCTTGCTTTCGGTTCCCCAGGAAGGGACTTCTTTCTTCCTGCCAGTGTTAAAAACAAGGCAGCTGGTTCCTACCTTCTTTATGTTACGCTGAAATTCTTTGTGTCGGACCGGCAAAGTACAAAACAGCTGCTGGAGGCTGACAGTAGTCCCCTGTGGCCGAGAGACAGGGACTCTCTGGGTGATCTTCCCGCTGTGATCAAACGCCAGCCGTGTCCCAATACTGGCCGACTTGTGACAAGTGACAATGGAAACCTTGCTGAGCAAAAGATTGCAATCGTTTTCATGGTTAATAAGGAAACTCAGAGGCAAGGAAGGACTTACATCACCCAAGCGGTGCTAGGACAGCTAGAACTCTGAGGATCCGGTCATAACCACCCTTGGTTCAGCAGCGTCATAACTCCAGACGGTGGCTGAATGGTTATAAGTAGAGAACTATCTGTATAATCATTACTTGCATAAATGTCTATGGAGATTCTCCGTCATCCAGGTTAGGGTTGTCCCAAAGGTGCTTTTTCAAGAGGCAACTGGACTTTCTTGAAGAAAGTCTTGAAAAAGCACCTTTGGGACATCACTCACATAGTGCTATGTGTATGCTTTTTTGCTAGTCAAAGAACAAAGTGAAGGCATTACATTAGATTGTAACGGATACATAATTTATTTAAGAAAATGTATATGGCCGCCCAGTTCACTCTCAGTGCGTCTGGGTGGCTTACAAGGATTACAAAACATTTTAAACTCAATATAAAAACAATAAAAAGCAATAACTTTCTACCCTCCTGACAACAACCATCAAATATCTTTTCGCGTAGGCATAAACACGGCCTAACTGGAGGCTACCACTCTCAAAAAGGGCAAGGCCAACTCAAAAATTAAATTATTTAAATAGGAAGGAATATCTAGTGACTACGAAGAGTTCACGCTGGGGGAAAGTCCCCCCCCCATGTTTGTAAAAATTCATAAATTCCCTTTTCTATACCCACACCCAAAGCCTGCTCTTGCCACCAAAGTGCACGCTGAGAATGAAGCAGCCTAAATTTGCACACGCTTATCTTGGTCTCGGTCACACTGAGGATTTTAACCTCCGAATTGGACAAATCGCTCCATAGAAGCAGAGATGGAAGCTGGAATCTGTACAATGGTTTTTTTTCTCTCTTGGTCCTCTTTCCTGGCTGAAGCCAGCATAAGACTCGCCAACTTTTTTAGCTAGTACGCTTCCCACGTGGAGAAGCTTCTTACCTTAACGCACACAAAGAGCTCAGAGCTTCACCTCGGAAGCCGAATGTTTCCACGTTGATGAGATCAGAGAATTCTTGGATCTTGGAAGTATAATGCTTCAGTGCTGGAAGAGATATTTAACAGAGGTAAGAAGAGGATGGTCCAGGAGACAGGGTTTCTCTAGGCTAGCCCCCACATTATGGGTTAGGTTGATGCCAAGGGTTCATTGTCTTCCACTTGTTTTTCTGGCAATGCAGAAAGCTCCCTGCTCAAGCAGGAGAACCTATACCATTTCAGACAGGTGAATGTCTACTCTAGTCTCTTCTTAAAAATCTCCAATGATGGAGCACCCACAATTTCTGGAGGCAAGGAGTTCCACTGGTTAATTGTCCCCACTGTCAGGAAGTTTCTCCTCAGTTCCAGATTGCTTCTCTCTTTGATCAGTTTCCATCTGGTGCTTTGGTGAACAACCTGGCCCCTCTGCCTTGTGGCAGCCCCTCAGATACTGGAACATTGTTATCATGTCTCCCCTGTTTCTTCTTTTCTTTAGGCTAGCCAAACCCAAGTCCCGTAGCCATTCTTCGTATATCTTAGTCTCCGGGCCTTGGATCATCTTAGTTGCTCTTCTCTGAATTTTTTCCAAACTCTCAACATCTTTTTTGTGATATGGTGAGCAAAACTGGCTGCAGTATTACTAGGTGTGGTCTCACTAGGCTAGGGCTTTATAAAGTGGTAATATAAAGCGGTAAATAAATACTAAACATTAACACAGAAATACAGCATACTCAAGCCTGCAAAGTTTTCGTCTTCTACGCCACAACCATTATCAGATACTTCAATAAGATCCGCTCCATAATCTTTAAGCTTCACTTCTACAAATGATACAAAGGAAGAAGGAAGATTAAATCTCTTTCATTTCCTGCCTCCTTCCCTCCAAATGTCAACAAGTAATAACAGCTGAGATCTAGCAACTTTAAAACAAGTTAACTTACCAACGTTAGTAGCGCCAGCATCTAGGCTGTTTTCCACCAGCTCTTTTACAGCGGTACATAGATTCAGCACCACTTGGCCTGAACAGATCTGATGAACTGATCTGCGATCAATTGGCTTGATGTTTTTTTCCACTCTTTAAAAAGGAAAAACAACAAAAGCTATTTGTTTTTATTACACTCAGAAAAACTTGCTTTGGTGGGTGGACAAAATATTCTCTCTTAAAATCAAATCAATAAATTCACTTTCCACTCTGAGCAATACTGCAGAAAAAAGTTGGCAGCCATTGGTCCAAAATGCTTCTTCTTTGTATATTATTCTTGGGTTGTTTTTTTTCAACCACATGTAAACCACCCAAGATGCCAGGAGTCGGACAGCATATAAATTTAATAATAAAATTAAATTTAGAAGAGTGAGTCCTATTTACAAGAACAGGAAGTCAGGCTTTATAGTTTGAATCAGTTTGGTCTAGCACAGGGGTCTTCAAACTTGGCCCTTTTATGACTTGTGGACTTCAACTCCCAGAATTCCTCAGCCAGGAATATTAAAATAAAGCAATGCAATGCAATAAATACACACACTGAAATTCCATTCCAAATAAAATAAAATAAAATAAAATAATAAAAAAATAAAACGATGCAACGTAATACATACTCTGAAATTCTTTTCCAATTCAAATAATAAAACATAGAAGTGATGCAATGCAATAAATACACTTAGGCTGAAATTCCATTCCAATTAAAATAAAATAAAAGATAAAATAAAATAACGCAATGCAATGCAATAAATACACTGAAATTCCATTCCAATTAAAATAAAATGATAGAATAAAATAAAGCAATGCGATGCAATAAATACACACACTGAAATTCCATTCCAATTAAGATAAAATAAAAGATATAATAAAATAAAGCAAATGCAATGCAATGCAATAAATACACACACTGAAACTCCGTTCCAATTAAAACGACCATAAAATTAAATAATAAAATGAAGCAATGCAACGCAATAAATACACTTACCCTGGAGTAAATTCCATTGTGTTGGGTGATGCCATTAACCCTTTGCTGCCTGCTCACTTTTCAAACGAAGTATGCAAATAGTATGCAAATCAGCCTAAAGGGGCGGTCCGGCTCCTTCCCGCCCATTTTCCGTCAGTCGATCAAAAGGAAGGGAACCGCGGACCGGGCCGGGCTCCAGGCGAGGCCTCGCCTCCCTTCGAGCCCGCAGCCGAGGCTCTCCGCTTCTTCCCGGGCGAGGCAAGCTCGCTTCCTTCATCGCATCCCTCCACTTCCCCAGGCTCGCGATGTCTTCTGGGTAGAATTCTTTTCCTCCAATCATCCCGTCGGAGCTTTCTGATTGGTCCATCCACGCACCAATCGGGGAGGGGAAGAGAGTTAAAAAAAGAAAGTGGAGCCGAATCTTAGCAAAGCTTATCATAGGGGAGGGGAATCGGTGTGGTCAACCACCACTTCGGGTACGCCATGGAATCCAAGCCTCCAGATCCTGAAATATACAAAGCGGCGTTTCTCAAGCAAATTTTCCTTCCTTCTTTGTTTGTCCTCTGGAGCTGCGTTCACACGAAACGCTGACCCGGTTTGCTGAATTCACCCGTTTCATGAGCTGCGCTAGATCACGCTGAACATCAGCTTCCCCAGTAGCTCAGAGCCCTCCACCTGCTGGGAGAGGAAGCAAAGTTAAGCCTAGCAGGGGGCGTAGAGGCGACCGCTCAGCCTGCCTCGCGGGATCCAAAGAAACGCATTTGGGTAGAAGACCCTCTTCCTCGCAAGAGGAGAGAGACTTCGCTTTTTAACCCGAAGTCTACGGTCAGGGCCGCTTCACCCGTCTTCTACACCCCTCCCTTCGGAGCTTGCATCAGATCGCGGCGAAGCTTGCACGCGGGCCGACTCGGAAGCCCCGCCTCTTTCGGCCGGCGGGAGCCGCCAATCGCCTTCGCGGCCGTGGCCAGGCGGCCAATGGGAGGCGCGACGGGCGGGGCGGCAGGCGGGGCTCCTCCAATGGGAGGCGGGGGCGGCGCCGGCGCGTCAGTCGGCCGTGGCGTGAGGAGAAGCGGCGGGTCGGCCGCGATGCCGATGTACAAGGTGAGGCCCTTTCAGGACGGCGCCGGCCCGGCGGTCCTGGCCCAGCACCTCCCCACCTGCATGTACCGCATGCGCTGCGCCCACCGCGAGGCCGGCGGGCCCCCCGGCCTTGCCTCCTCACCGCCGCCGCCGCCGCCTCAGCAGGTAGGAGCCGCTCGGCCCTGCGGCGCCTCACTTGGCCGCTTCTCCCTGGCCCCGAGACCGCCCGGGAAGGCTTTCACCTTCGGACTAGCGCTCCCATCCTCCCCAGGCCCCGTTTTCCGCCCCAGGCCACTCCCCCTTCGGACTACAATGCCCATCCTCCCCAGCCCCAAGCCACTCTCCCTTAGATTGCAATGCCCATCCTCCCCAGCCCCCGCTTTCCGCCCCAAGCCGCTCCCCCTCCGGACTACAATCCCCATCCTCCCGAGCCCCCGTTTTTTGCTCTGTCCCAAGCCACTCCCCCTTGGATTGCAGTGCCCATCCTCCCCAGCCCCCGTTTTCCGCCCCAAGCCGCTCTCCCTTCCCCAGCCCCCATTTTCCGTCCCGACCCAATCCTATTCGGACTACAATCCCCATTCTTCCCACCTCCGCTTTTCTCCCTGCCCGAAGCCACTCCTCTTTGGGACTATAATTCCCATCATCCCCCACCCTGCGCTGCTGAAGGTTGCCCGGCTCCAAGTCCCATCAGCCCCAGCCCAGGCTGGTGGAAGGGCAGCCTTCCTCAGAGACCCATTGGGGCCCCACACAGGCTGGGGTAAGAGAAGGGACTCCCTTCCCCCTCCCCTCTGAGCGCTTGGATCCCGATCTGGCTGCTTTCCTTTCACTTCCACTTTCTTTCAGGAACACATTTGCAATGATTGATTGCCTGTGTGTATTCGTGATGGTATCAAATGTGTATTAAAAATTATTCACAGTATTAATGCAAAGTGACTATGTAGCTTACAGTGAGAATCAAACGCTAGGGAGAGCCTTGGAATTTTGGAGAAGCTTTAAAAGTTTAAATAAATCCATTGAGGGGGTCCTTGGTGCTCTCTGAGCTTGGTTGTTTCCTTGCAGACATTTCATTACTCAAACTAGGTAAGATCAACAGTGCTAGTGATGTTACCTGCTAGTGAGGTTACTAGCACTGATGACGTTACCTAGTTTGGTAATGAAACTAGGTAACGTCAAGAAAACAAGCAAGCTCAGAGAGCACCGAGGACCGTTCCTTTCAACCCTGAGCTATAAATATTTTCTTTTATTGGTACTGGACTTTATTGAAACCCATTGAACATCAGTGCAGCTCCTCCTTGAGGGAGATGGGCAGTCTAGAAACAGATAGATAGACAGACAGACAGACAGACAGACAGACAGACTAGATGGATGGATGGATGGATGGATGGATGGATGGATAGATAGAAGATAGATAGATAGATTAGATAGATGATAGATAGATAGATAGATAGAACGAACGTAAAAAGGGACATCCAGAATACCTGGTTTTGTTCTGACACAATACAAAACAACGAAGTAAAGGCTAACTTAATTTTCGTTCAGGATGAAGTTGATCCAACACTCCAGGCTCTTGAATTCCGCCAGGAAGAGATCTTGAAACGTTTGTATGAATTGAAAGCTGCTGTGGATGGCCTCTCAAAAATGATCCAGACACCAGATGCAGACTTCGATGCCACTAACATAATTCAAACAGATGACCATGTTTCTCTAACTGTCAGCTCTGCAGAACTTGATAGTCTGCTTGGGAAGGCAAGTTGGATTCATATTTCATATTCTAACTTGCTATGCTTTTATAGGTGTTCAAATGTAGTGGCGCATAATGTGCAATTAATTTCCAAGTATGACCTAAATCCAGATCCAGTTCACCATCTGGTTTAGGATGGAGATCCATGTTTTTTCTAGGCATGGGCTCTATTCTTGTAACGTGCTTAGAGGTCTAGTGTTTTTCAGCTCTCAGCTGACATATGTATGGTCTGTTTCATCTTTTGTCACCTATGAGAGCCACTTCTGTCATCCCATTTCTTCTCCACAGCTAGTTTAAGCAGCGTGGAAGACGAATAGGCAGCGTAGAACTGCAGTGCTGTTAATCTATGGAAGGATACAGTGCTAAAAAAACCCCTTCAGTATATTAACTATGATAGGTGGGAAAGCTTTAGACAAATGGAAATCTTTTGAGTAGTTGACTGAAGTCAAGTTTGTTTTAAAGCAGGATTACGGTGGCCTGAAGGATATTGTCATCAATGCGAGCCCCTCTTTCCCTCCACTGTCGTTGTTAATTCTTCACAGTTTTCTGTGTGAGAAGTACAAGATCCTTTCAACGGTTCACACACACTCATCCGTGAAAAACGTGCCAGAAAAGCTCCTCAAATGCTTTGGTGAGCAGGCAAAGAAACAATCGCGCCACGAATACCAGCTGGGCGTTACTTTAATTTGGAAAGATGGTAAGTCCACGTGGGCTTATTAACGGCGGCTCGCAGAGTNTTTTCGGACTACAATCCCCATCGCCCCCCACCCACCCCCGCCACTTCTTTCGAGTTTGCTTTCAATTGTTCTGGCGCTCCTGAAGGTTGCCTGGCTCCAAGTCCCATCAGCCCCAGCCCAGGCTGGTGGAAGTTGTAGTTCGAGAGCTTTGGAGGGGCGGCCTTCCTCAGAGACCCATTGGGGCCCCACACAGGCTGGGGTAAGAGAAGGGACTCCCTTCCCCCTCCCCTCTGAGCGCTTGGATCCCGATCTGGCTGCCTTCCTTTCACTTCCACTTTCTTTCAGGAACACATTTGCAATGATTGATTGCCTGTGTGTATTCGTGATGGTATCAAATGTGTATTAAAAATTATTCAGAGTATTAATGCAAAGTGACTTTGTAGCTTACAGTGAGAATCAAACGCCCGGGAGAGCCTTGGAATTTTGGAGAAGCTTTAAATAAACCCATTGAGGGGGTCCTTGGTGCTCTCTGAGCTTGGTTGTTTCCTTGCAGACATTTCATTACTCAAACTAGGTAAGATCAACAGTGCTAGTGAGGTTATTAGCACTGATGACGTTACCTAGTTTGGTAATGAAACTAGGTAACGCCAAGAAAACAAGCAAGCTCAGAGAGCACCGAGGACCGCTCCTTTCAACCCTGAGCTATAAATATTCTCTTTTATTGGTACTGGACTTTATTGAAACCCATTGAATATCAGTGCAGCTCCTCCTTGAGGGAGATGGGCAGTCTAGAAACAGATAGATAGATAGATAGATAGATAGATAGATAGATAGATAGATAGATAGATAGACAGACAGACAGACAGACAGACAGACAGACAGACAGACAGACAGACAGACAGACAGACAGACAGACAGACAGACTAGACAGACAGACAGACAAGATAGATAGATAGATAGACAGACAGACAGACAAGATAGATAGACAGACAGACAGACAAGATAGATAGATAGATAGATAGATAGATAGATAGATAGATAGATAGATAGATAGATAGATAGATAGATAGATAATGGTTTTAATATGGACATACCCAGGGATCACATTTTTAATATAATTATTAATAGATAGATAGATAAAGATAAATAAATTGCACATAAAAAGGGACATCCGGAATACCTGGTTTTGTTCTGATACAATACAAAACAACGAAGTAAAGGCTAACTTAATTTTCGTTCAGGATGAAGTTGATCCAACACTCCAGGCTCTTGAATTCCGCCAGGAAGAGATCTTGAAACGTTTGTATGAATTGAAAGCTGCTGTGGATGGCCTCTCAAAAATGATCCAGACACCAGATGCAGACTTCGATGCCACTAACATAATTCAAACAGATGACCATGTTTCTCTAACTGTCAGCTCTGCAGAACTTGATAGTCTGCTTGGGAAGGCAAGTTGGAGTCATATTTCATATTCTAACTTGCTATGCTTTTATAGGTGTTCAAATGTAGTGGCGCATAATGTGCAATTAATTTCCAAGTATGACCTAAATCCAGATCCAGTTCACCATCTGGTTTAGGATGGAGATCCATGTTTTTTCTAGGCATGGGCTCTATTCTTGTAACGTGCTTAGAGGTCTAGTGTTTTTCAGCTCTCAGCTGACATATGTATGGTCTGTTTCATCTTTTGTCACCTATGAGAGCCACTTACATCCTCCCATTTCTTCTCCACAGCTAGTTTAAGCAGCGTGGAAGACGAATAGGCAGCGTAGAACTGCAGTGCTGTTAATCTATGGAAGGATACAGTGCTAAAAAAAACCCTTCAGTATATTAACTATGATAGGTGGGAAAGCTTTAGACAAATGGAAATCTTTTGAGTAGTTGACTGAAGTCAAGTTTGTTTTAAAGCAGGATTACGGTGGCCTGAAGGATATTGTCATCAATGCGAGCCCCTCTTTCCCTCCACTGTCGTTGTTAATTCTCCACAGTTTTCTGTGTGAGAAGTACAAGATCCTTTCAACGGTTCACACACACTCATCCGTGAAAAACGTGCCAGAAAAGCTCCTCAAATGCTTTGGTGAGCAGGCAAAGAAACAATCGCGCCACGAATACCAGCTGGGCGTTACTTTAATTTGGAAAGATGGTAAGTCCACGTGGGCTTATTAACGGCGGCTCGCAGAGTTAGCCCACAACACTTTTATTTTATTTATTAAATTAATAATAAGAGAATGGGTCTTCATTGGAGTAGGTTCTTTGGAGCTGGGTGGCTATATAAACTTTAAATAAGTCTGATGTAACATGGGTTTGTTGCTTGCTGTTCATTTTGGGGTATTTGTTATCTGCCGGGCAGTATGTTATGTGAGAAATCAGCTTGGCAACCATGAGACAGCATAAACATGTTGGAAAAAGAATGGTGAATACAGTAGTTCTCGACTTACGACCATTTTCCGCACTTACAACCATTGCAGCCTCTCCGTGGTCACATGATTTAAGTTCAGATGCTTGGCAACCGGTTCATATTTATGACGATTGTTACAGTGTCCTGGAGTCATATGATCCCCTTTTGTGACAGTGGAATGGAATGGAATAGAAATAAATAGGAATAGAATAGAATAGAAATACAGAATAGAATAGAAATATAGAATAGAATAGAAATACAGAATAGAATAGAAATACAGGATATAATAGAATAATGGGAATGGAATAGAATAGAAATATAGAATAGAATAGAAATACAATAGAAATACAGAATAGAATAAGAATAGAATAGAGCTGGAAGGGACCTTGGAGGTCTTCTAGTCCAACCCCCTGCTCAAGCAGGAGAACCTGTATCGTCTCAGACAGGTGGAATGTCCAGTCTCCTCTTAAAAATCTCCAGTGATGGAGCGCCCACAATTTCTGGGGGTAAGCTGTTCCACATCAGATTCATTTAACTGTGTTAAGAACTGCAGTGACTCACTGTGGCAAGAAAGGTCGTAAAATGGGGCAAAATTCACTTCACCAATCCTGCTCAGCAACATAAATTTTGGGCTTAATGGTGGTCGTAAGCCGAGGACTACCTGTATACGCCAGCTCTCCGAGCACCATCCGTATCTAATGCTCCCTTGGGATTATCCTTCCAGTGCCAAAACCCCAGATGAAGTTCAGCGTCCAAACCATGTGCCCCATTGAAGGCGAAGGGAGCATTGCTAGGTTCTTATTCTCCTTGCTCGGCGCAAAGCATAACGCGGTCACAGCGACTCTGATAGACAGCTGGGTCGACACCGCCCTCTTCCAACTCCAAGGGGGGAGCAATAAGGAAAAAGCAGCCGTTCTGCGGGGCATGAACGCAACCCTGGGCAAGACCTCCTGGCTGGTGGGCAACGAGTTGACGGTCGCAGATGTGGTGGCCTGGTGTGCCCTTCAGCAGACGGGGGGCACCGAGGACGTCCCGGCCCATGTGCAGAAATGGCTGCGGTCTTGTGAGAATCTGGCACCGTTTAACGCTGCTCTCAAGCTACTGAAGTGACTCTCTCTCCTGCGGGCAGGCAAGCACCTTCAACTCTTTCGACATCTCTGGCAATGAATCTTGAGAGGATGGTTGGATAAATCAGATTTGAGAAATAACCAAAGCTGTAATGCCAATAAAAGTTCATCAGAGTTGTCCTTTGTAAAGTGGTACTTCTTCAGCGAGAAAACTGGCCCGCTGGGCACCCCATCTTGGAAACAAAATGGGCTGGGTTTTTCCTTCGGAGATGTTTTTTCTCCCTAACTTTCCCAACTGCTCCCATCCAAGCGTTTAACAGGCCCCGATCCTGCTTAACTTCTTTGGGATTAACCAGGATTGTCTGGCCTCGCTACCTGCTGTAACTACAGCATTACTGTTAAATGTCAGAAACTATATAAAGAATTTCAGGAATGCTTCTCTGCGATTTCTCTTCAGTTCAAATGAGAGAGACACCCTTATAGACCTGGAATATTTTATGTAAAAAAAAAGTAAGACAATTTAAAAGTTAATACGACGACAAATACTTTTGGTTCATTTAAACAGGAGATCCGAGGGGCTTGATTCTGTCTCTTTCGTCCCTCTCTTCTAACAGCAGCTTAATTTTTTCTTTAAGCAGTTTGATTTCTTCTTCTTGCTTCATCACTTTCTGCTGAAGAGCACAAATCACCTGAACAAAACAAAGCAGACAATTATTGCTGCCTTCCCATATACAGAGTAGTGCTAGCAGGGATAGGAGGGGATCGTTTTTCTACGTGGCTGCTCACTTCCTTTTTTAAAAATAAGAATAGCCATCTTAATTTCGTTTAAATTACATTCCTTTCTTTTTTTTCTTTAGTTTATTAACGGTTGTTAACCAGCACAGGAGAATTGATATTCAAAATTAGGGCTTATTTAACTGGCTTATTATACATTTATGACAATTATGGGATAATTTGGGCTCATTATCATAAATTATAATCATCCAGGCTCACAATAATTAGGGGCTAATTTGTCTTACAATCAAATGATGATACTCAGGCTTTAACAGAATAACAGAGCTGGAAGGGACCTTGGAGACCTTCTAGTCCAACCCCCTGCTCAAGCAGGAAACCCTGTACCATTTCAGACAAATGGTTGTCAGGTCTCTTCTCAAGAACCTCCAATGTTTATGATACTCTGTGATAAATGTGTAATAATTTAGATAATCGGGATCATCTTGCCAAAGCTTACATTTGCCGAATTATGGAAGAGTTCGCTGTCCAGCAGCTGAAGGGCTGTGGGTCTACGCGAGGATGTGTCGCTGGTCAGTAATTTCACGTATTTGGCCTGTATAGGCCACTTCCCAGAAAAAGAGAACGGGAGGGTGCCCTGTCTTAAGCCCATCAGAACTTCCGTTCTCTCCATTTCCGTTCCAAACGGCTGGAAGAGTTCAAACAGGATGACACCCAAACTGTACATATCCGACTAGGGGGAGATAAGAAATGTTCAGGGTTAGAACTCTTCCCCCCCCCCCCCCATAATTTAAATGCAACTTTTAATACAGAACTCTTCGGAATCAATGTGGGGATGTGCGCTGTACAGCAACAGCCATGGGGCAACTCTTTCTTGACTCAGACACCAGGGAGGAAAGTTTTTGGCAAAAGCAGAAAGGTGGGCCAGAGCATTTTCCAGGATCGATCGTTCCCGCTTTGCGCCAGCCTGGCAATTTCAAAGCTGTACCGTGCTGCTTTTTAGGTGATCGTTCTAACACCCCCCCCAAAAAAGCCCAAATAATTGGGCTATAACCCTTGTTGCCAGGGTGCTCTCTATCTCCCTCTAAGCTGGCTTTCACGTACTTCTTTTCTTCTTGATAGCCAACCAGAATGCAGTTATTGCAGGCTAACTCTGCCCACTGTCGAGAGATCGATCCTGACCGGCTCACGGTTGACTCGGCCTTCCTTCCTTTCAAGGTCGATAAAACGAGGACCCAGATTATTGGGGGCAACATCGTGACCTTGTAAATCGCTCAGCGGTATGGAACAATATATAAGACTATTGCTATGCTTATATATGTCCATTGACTTCTGAAAGATGGAATTGCACAACTGAGGTCCTGTTTTTAAAGAGCTACAGTTAGACTGGAGGTTGGGATGGCTGTACCTTGAAATCATAATGAGAGCCTTGGAGCTGTTCAGGAGAAGCATACAGGCAAGTGCCTACTCCAGAGGTATGGATGAATGCTATACCAAAATAAAGGGAGAATGTTAGCCTTAAAAAAAAAAAAAAGCATTGCGAATCAATAACCAAAGCACAGAGCGGAATGATTACCATAATTATTCTCTGCGCTTAGCAGGTGGGTGGTATCTTCCTCTATAATATCTCTACAGGCTAACCCAAAGTCCCCTATTTTCACATGGTGGTTAGGTCCTTGGAGAAAGATATTCCGGGGCTGTGAAAACAAAACAAACGCACTGATGATGTTACATAGTTGGCCAATGAAACGTCTGCAAGAAAACAACCAATCTCAGAGAGCGCCAAGGACTCCTCAATTCAACCCCGAGCCACAAATATTCTCCTTTATTGGTACAAAACAAACGGTTCTGAATGTATTTCAGAAATTTCAAATCTCATTTCAATTACATTCGGCGCAAAAGATTTCGATTAACCGAAAGTGTCAAAATAGAGCTGGCGAGATTCCGGTTGGGAGCACCAAGTAGGAGTCCGGCCTTGAGAGCCCTCCAAGGCCCCTTTCTATTCTAGATGTCTTCTCCAGTGACGACAACAGGCGCCAATAACCAGAGACCCGTACGTGTCAAGTTTAAGTTGGCTACTTTATTTTTCTCTGCCTATTACGCAGGAATCTCCCCAGTTCACATGAGAACTACTAGACCAGGCTTTAAGGCAGGGGTGTCAAACTCGTGTCACGCGACGTGTCGCGACGTATCATGACTTTTTTTCCCCCTTGCCGAAGCTGGGATGGATGCAGCTTCCGCGTGACGCATCCGGACCGTGGGAGGGCAGTTTGACTCCCCTGCTTTAAGCTATTCATGGAAGGTCAGACCTAGCTCTTTTGTGTTTACATAGAGAGTCCAGGCTAATTCCTCACTTGACTCCTGCTCTTCAACAAGCTGAAATGTAAGCCTAAGCTGAATAGGACATTTTTTTAGAGGCCGTACATCTCTCTCTATTTGACCTGCAACCTTTTAGATTGATGAGATCATCATCTAACTGGTTCCAGAACCAAGCGCCATCATCAGAAAAGAACAATGGCTCAAATGTAAGGTTCCCCACATGCATGTTTTTCCACACTCAGCTCTGCCCATTTTTTTTTTCCTAACATGGGCAATTTGATAAGACGTCCTTGCAAATGGGACAGCGAATTGACAGACGAAAAACTAATTGAGGCAATCATGACCAACAATACATCGATGCTTCAAGATTTACTGCCGTCCCACTCAGTTTACCAAACGGTTCTCTGCCAGGTAGCTTTTATCTGCTAAATCTAAAAGACTAAAATGGAATTTAAAACAGGATACAGGTAGTCCTCGATTTATGACTACAACCGGGCCCCCAGTTTCTGTCACTAAGCGAAACGTTAAGCGAGTTTTCTCCCATTTTTTTGACCTTTCTTGCCGCAGTTGTTAACTTGACTTTGCTTGTTAGAAGGCGGCAAAAGGGGCATGTGTCTCCCAGGACACTGCGACCGTCGTAAAATGAGTCAGTGGCCAAGTGTCCAAGTTTCGATTACATAATCATGGGATTGCTGCAATGATGGGTCGTCAGTGTGAAAAGCGGTCATAAGTCACTCTTTTTCAATGCCGTTGTAACTGTGGACGAGCCCTACGAGAACTGTCGTAAGTCGAGGACTATGTGTAGGTAGAATTTTATGTAAAGTGTCCAAAGACGGAACTTCTGAAAAGATGTTTAATTCAGAATGACAAATTTTATACCAAAGGGTCTTTAAATGGGATTTTGACAAGCAGCAGAATGACTGTACAATCTTAGGCATATCTAATTAAAAGTAAGTTCCGTTGACCCACTCTTAGAATTTAAAGTTAAATGGGACTTAGTTCTGAGTTAACAAGCACAAGCTTATGTGATGAGGTTGTCATCTTGTATCACTTTTAGTGAGGCAGGCGGCTATCTAAATTTGATTATTGTGATAAATAAAATCTTACAGGTATATTGGATTAAGCCCTCCCTGAAAAAGCGAAGCGTTCTTTAATCAATCCTTCTGATAGTTATTATAATGTAGAGTGCAGAATATTTTAGCAGGCTTCCTACAAAGTCCTACACTTTCAAAACAACCCACAAAATGTGTTACAACTAAACTTTCTGCAACCACTTTCTAGGCACCTAAACGGTTAGCTGAAGCTCAGATCAGATTCAAAGAATAAGCTACTTCTTAAGACAGTAGAACAAAATGTATTGTAAATTATAAATAGCCTTCGGATGGTCTTGATTTCAATAAACCACATCAAAAGTGATAGCTTGCTCCACTAGCTTACATGTTGCCAGTTATGACTTTTATATCTTTTTCTCCCTGTCAAAGAAAAAAGGGAGATTTGTGCAAGATAATACACGAAATGAAGATCCTGAAATGAGGTAATATGTTACTAAATGTCAGCGGTTATAATACGGGATTTGGGAAATGTTTAACGGCAAGAACTGTCAGACACAAAGAATCAGGACCACACGTTAAATTCCAGCCAATCTGATTTATTGCTTATGCCTCTAGAGGTAATACTCCACTTACAGCCACAATTGAGCCCAAAATAAGTGAAACATTTGTTAAATGAATTTTGCCCCATTTTATGACCATTCTTGCAACAGTTGTTAAGTGAATCACTGCAGTTGTTAAATTAGCAATATGGCTTTTAAGTGGCTCTGGCTTCCCCATGGACTCTGCTTGTCAGAAGGTCACATTGCAACCGTCATAAAGGTGAAGCAATCACACATCCAAATTTTGGTCACAAGACCTGGGGAGGCTGCAACGGTCGCAAGTGTGAAAAACAGTCGTAAGTCACTTTTTTCAGTGCCATTGTAACTTTGAACGGTCACTAAATGGACCGTTGTAAGTTGAGGACTACCTGTATACAAGAATCTACTCAATTAAAAGTCAGCGCTATGCTGGAACTAGAAAAAGTCAACGGAATTTAAGAGGGATTGGTCTTAGGCCGTTTGTGGGAATGTAATGACTCTAGGCTGATTCCTCCCTTGACTCCTCCACCCCTGGGCTCTACCTGTCCTTTTCCTACAAGAATCCATTAACACTGGAGTCAAGCTGCTTAGCAGCGAAGGACCAAACCTTTGGTTGGTTGGCTGGAGTTGATGTCATCACAGATATCTAGAAAGCACACTGTAGTCTACTCCCACTGTATTAGATACTCCATTAGAGAGAGAAAGAACTTGCCAATATGTATTTTATTCCTACCCATTTAGCCCCCAAAGAGCAGAATGCTCCACGGAGAACCCCCGCAGAGCAGAAGACAGGAATGATAGCAAACATCTCCTTGTCAAATTGAAGAAGAGTGTCAAGACCACAAACAGTGACACGGCTGGCCCCCGTGATCACCATCCTCTCCATCTGGCTGTAACCATGGGGTGTCATCACCTAATCCCCGACCTGCTGAAGCGGGGGGCAAGAATAGACGACAGGTCGAAAGCCGGCCAGACCGCCCTTCACCTCGCTTCCCAAACCCTCAACCACGAAGCCATTCAAACGCTACTCCACCGTGGGGCCGAGGTGAACTGCGCCACTCCGATGACCCGAGAGACCCCGCTCCACTTGGCCGTCCACGCCTCGTCCTGCAAGGCCGGCCTCATCCTCGGGGCCGACGGGAAGTGCGTGGCGCTTCTGCTGATGAACGGGGCCGACGTGTGCAGGAAGGACTGGAGAGGCCAGGAAGCCCTTCACCACGCTTGCCGAAACGGCCATGAAGACATCATTAACCTCCTCCTCAATTACGGGGCAGACGTGAACGCCTTAACACTGCGAGCCGAGTCGTGCCTTTTCCTGTTCCTCGAAAAAGCCGCCAATCTAAAGAAGGCCAACCTCCTCTGGAAGCTGCTAAGCCTCTCCTATCCTCTGAAGCTCACCAACTCCGACGGTCGCCTACCCCAACTCCTAGATGACCCCTATTGGGAGCCACTGAAGGACATACTCCTACAAGTGTCCTGCCAAGTCTGGTCCTTGCAGGACATTTGCAAATTCAACATCCGGAAAGTCTACGGTGGGAACTCAAGATACTGGCTCAAAGAGCTGATGCCCATCAAGCTGTGGGACTCTATCTACATGGGCCAACAGTTTTCGTACGCTTCGAAAATTGTCGAAAGGATTTTTGACGGCGGGTGCCGCCAGTCCGAAGTAGGGGAGCGGCCCTGGGATGCTAGCCTCCTCCTCCTTTTTCTCCTTAGCGTGATTCCTGCGCTATGGCAGGGTCCGCTTTTCCTGGGACGCTAGTTTTGGTTCTGACGTGTCAAAATAAAATAAAACCGGAAGCGTCGGCTTTGTTGCTCTGAGTCAGTCCTCCCAAGCATGGATTTCGAGCATGGAGCACACACTCCCTCCGTTTGAAATATTTAGGAAGGAAAACGGAGAGGGGTTCCTGCAATTTGGAGGTGTGCGACAGGCATCCAGCCCAGCCTTTTTAAAAACCCTGCTGGAAGCAATGCGATTCCCAGCTGAAGGAGACCGAAATTGGAGAAAAGGGGAAAACGGGGAAAGGAGCAATGGGCATGCACAGTAAATACAGGTAGTCCTCAACTTAACGACCACAACTGGGCTCAAAATTTCTCTTGCTATGCGAGACATTTGTGAAGTGGATTTTGCCCCACTTTACGACCTTTTCTGCCATGGTTGTTAAGTGAATCGCTGCAGTTAATAACACAGCTGACTTTGCTTATCAGAGTCACAAAAGGGATTGTGTGACCCCCGGGACGCTGCGTCCGTCATAAACATGAGTCAGTTGCTGAGAGTCTGAATTCTGATCACTGACTCTGGGATTGCTGTAACGGTCGTTAAGTGTGAAATACGGCCGTAACTCACTTTTTCCAGTGCCGTTGTTTGAACGGTCCCTAAATGAACTGTTTTAAGCAGAGGACTACCGGTAATTGTGTATTAAAAAGGCGTTCGTCGGTTTGAAGCAACAAAAATTTGGGCTTAAGTAGGAATTTCTGCTGTTTGCCATATCTAATATAATGCCAACATATAATGGTTTCTTGATTCTGAATATTTAACCACCCATCCAAGTTCTTAATGCATTCTTTGAGTGCAGAATTTCTAAATACCCAGCCTGGCTCTGAAAGAGTATTTTACTTACTTTAATGTCCCGGTGCATGACCCCATTACTGTGGATATAGTACACGCCTTCTAGCAGCTCCTGGAAAATCTTCAAGGTCCAGTGTTTCTCAATATGATGATAAGGATCTTTAAAAACATTTAAAAACAACAACAACACAGTTTTTGCACGTGCAATACTGGAATGTCACAAATGAAGGCAAATTGACGCATCCTGGGATAATGTGGCAGGATCCAACCTGGGTCGGTTACAGGGACCGGACATTTTTGTCTTCCGAACTTCCAGACGCGTGCTGAAGCTCATCTTTGGGGGATTTCTCTCTGCTAGCTGGGCTCCAGCACGGAGTCTGAAAAACTCAGAATACAAAACCTTTGGTTCTGGTGACCGACCCAGATTGGATCCAGTACTGGAAATGTCTTTATAACAGCTTGTTAATGACTCTCTTTGAAATATGTTGATTAAAAAAAAAACAAGAACCAGGCAAGCATCTTTTCCAGGGCAGTTGCTTAGACCAGGGGTCCCCAACCCACAGTCCGTGGACCGGTAGCGGGCCGCAGCCTGCCAGCAACCGGTCTGCACAAACAAGGAAAGCCCCATCCACAGGATGCAGGCAGCACACAAAATCACATCCCCTCCGGTCCGCGGAAAAACCTCCCTCCACGTAACTTGTCCCTGATGCCCAAAAGGTTGGGGACCTGTGGCTTAGACTTTTAAGACTTACTAGAGGCATCCGTTGCTTTCAGACACACGTCATTTCTGCTGGCAATCCAGTCACACAAAGAGGCTTCGCACAGTTGCATTTGGATGTGAAGCATCAGGTGATATTCAACCTAAGAAGGAAAGAGGGAGGCACTTTTTTTTTTCAATGCACCATGAGAAAGAGATATAACACTACGCAAACCTACGACAGGCCGAGCGATTACAACCTCGACTTAGGCAGCAGTGGCCCTATCTGCGAGAATTGTTGCTGTGTCCTCTTTTTCAGAACTCTTGTTAACTTTGAATGGTCCCCACTTCACCCAAGTTGTGTGAATCCCCAGGGCTGGGCTTATTCTGAAAAAGGAACAAATCTGAAGCACATTTTTTCACACCGTGAACACAATCCCCCTCTTCCGCTTCGCTCCTCTACAGATGCAGTCCCACAAAGGGATCACTTTCAGAAGCAAGGAGCAGATTTTGCATCTACAAAGGTGCTTAAAAAACTGTCCTTCAAAATCGCCGGAGCAGAATGAAAGCCTATTCAAGATGAATTTCTACTCACCACACAAGGCTGGTGAGAAGGTCTCTCGTTTTGGGCATCTTCATCGGTGCAAGAATCCCCATTTTCAGTGCAGCAACGTAGGACCGAGGACTGATTTCCACTGTCCCTTAAGTCGTGGCTCGTGTCATTTTCCCCACTCCTGCCATATGTCCCAGGAGGAAATGTGCAAACATTCCCTTCACTTCCTTTAGAATTTCTGCCCAGGGAATCCTCCGGGCTCCGACTGGCAAAGATAATGGAACTGTCTTCCATTTCTTGAATGCAACTCTGGTCCCTACAACAACAAAAAAAGGAAAAAAAACCCTCAAAATCAAGGAAGGGAAGGGAACTGTACAGCCCTTCGTGGTCCAACACTCCCCCCTCCCGAATAATTTTATTTATAAAAAAAGAATTTATTTTAAAAAAAACGAGGCAGTTCTTGTGGAATCCTAGAATACGTTACTCGGAATCTCCTGGCTCCGAAGACATTTTGAGAGACGGAAGATCCAAGCCTAAGCCACCTAAAATGGGGAAAAAAAAGGACATTTTATAAAGACAATTTTATACCGTTGGGTTCATACGAGGTGCACAGCGTGAAAATCAAACTGGATTTTATTATTGTCGTGGGCAGAACGCAATTTATTTGTCGGGGCCATCACGGGGCATGTGAACAGGTCAGAATCCACCCTACGGACCCTGTACCTTCCATGCTCTTGGTTTTAATCCTCTAATTGCCGTGAATTTTAATTCGAATAGTTTTATATCTCTGCTTTTATGCCATTGTAAGGCACCTCTTTGAGAGGGTGAGATGAAGCCCACAAATTATAAAACGCTGCGCACTGCTCGAAGTCAGGCAGATGAGACAAGAAGTATAGCTATGGAATAAACAAACAAATATGCTCCCCTTTTGGACAGGCTGGCTGAACGTGTTCCATCCAAGCCGTGTGGTAACCTACAATGTGAGGATGCTGCAGCTGAGCCAAGACTTTCACTTCCCGTAGGACCTACGTAAAGATCAGAGATGGACTTATTGTTATGGTTCTGACAGATGAAGCTCTTCGAAAGAACTTCAAGGCATTGTTTACCTTAAAGAGTCTTTATTTTGAGTAGCATAACATCGGCACTGCATAATCGAAGCCAAAAACTGAATTCCCCTCCCCTGAGTACATAGTATCCAAGCACAATTCCTTCCTCCAATTAACAGTCATAAATCACATTCCCCAATTAGCTTGAAGCTCCGGCTTCCTCTCCAGCCCCCAATTCCTTATCAGCTCTGGTTACAATAACCTTGTTTCTCACACTAGGTCTAGTGTTGTTATGTCTAGCTGGACTCTCGTTCACACACACCTTCCCAGCATCATCTAACTCTAAAAGCAAAAGGTAAAAGATGGCTACATTTCCATCTGTTGTCAATGCAAAAACATCCGATGTTAGCAGCGTTGACACTTATCACAATAGGTATGACCAGGTAAGCCGCTCTTTCCCAAGATGCCCATCGACTTTCCGGAAATGGAAGTAAGAGTGCCTTTCACTTTTGCCCTTACCCCCACCTGTCAGGCGCAAGAAATCAAGGAACCGAGGCTGTTCACGTGAAGGCAGGTTTTATTGCACGCTACCGTTCTGTACAAGAATCTGAGCTACTAACGGTCAAAGTGAATTGGCAGTAGAGAAGAGTCAGTGGAATTCAAGATGGGCTGGATTTAGATCGCTTGGTGCGAAGGGATTCAAAACTGATGATGTGCTGGACCCCTTCCCTCGGGCTCTGCCTGGTCATCTCCTGCGTCCCCAAAAGATGTAACGTCCACCATAAGGGCACTGCAAGCCCAAGGGCGCCCCTTGAAAAACTCTGCACCCCCCAAGCAAATGGTTTTGAGTGGGATGATGGCAAAGACTCCTGAAGAGCTGGGCACCTTCTCTTTCTAAGCCCCCATCGACGTTGTACTGGGGGTACAAGCAAGAAATAGTAGGCGGGGTTAATCGGCAAGAAGTGTCAGTCAAAAGTGGGTGGGGCTACTACTATTCAACTCCAGACTTCCTGGTTTTTGTCTCTCTCTCTCTCTCTCTCCATTCTTCTTCCCAGAAATACAGTAATTTTGCAGCTACCAGATTTTTTGAAGCAAGGCAATAAATAGCAAAGTTTCTGCCTGCAACTGACAGATTTCTTTTAATATTAAACATCGACTAACCCCGATCTGAGAACCGTGGCACCTGTCTTTGCAAAACACCCTCCAGCCAACACAAAACAAGGCCGTTACCTTCATGCAGTCCCGCTTGGTGGCTTTCTTAATCAGGATTTTTTTAATCGCGTAGAATTGGCCATCGAGTTTATTTCTGACCTGAAAGAAGACCAATAAGGCAGAAGGGTGTAAGACAAATTTAGAACAATGGGTGACACGGACGTCACTTTTTGTAAAGAAGTTTCATCCAGACACTGGGATTTTCTCAAATATGCAGTAAGGGCGGGAGATAAATGGAATAAATAACTATCACCTGCCAGATTCAGAATATGGGCCTTGGGTGGCAAATAGGGAGAAAGGCCACACGGTGTATCATGACATCCCTGCACAAACGCTACAAATTATGTAATTCAGCAAATCCAACACTTTATTGTTTTAAGGGTGCATTCTTGCATCGTGTTTTATAAATCTGCTCAGAATAAAATCTTAAGATATATTGAAAGAAGGCCTGCCACAATTTCTACCCACCACCAATGGGCCTTATTCCCCATTCGACTATAACCAATGCTGATGTTGATATAGTCAGTTATAAATACCTTATATACTGTTCCATACCCTCCTTTCCCAAGCCGTGAAATCTCATCAAATTCGTTAACATAACGGGATGTCTGCGCTTCGAAGAGGATTTCGTTCTCCCTAGTTTTTAAAAGAGCCTATTAATACGGAGTTGTTATTAAAAAAAATCAAATACCACCAACAATAAATTAAAAAAGAGGGTAATATTCCACTGTAAAACTTTCTTTCGTGGATAGACGAGCAACATATGGAAATAGAAAGGAGACACCCATGTTCAAAAATATCCAGATTAGTGACAGCCTAAGGCTCAAGCTGCTGATTTTTATCCTGCCTTAGACATGTCTCAGTTTTTCCAATTCAGACATAGAAAAACAGAACAGAACAGAAAGCAAAAGTCTCTTCTTGTGATGCCCAAGGACTTTTACATTACATGATTTTACATTACATGATTTACGGTTCCAACGTAATCGGAATTTTATTTCCACAATGCAGGGACTCCAGAAGCTGCTGTTAAATGCTTTTCAGAGAGTAAAGCTCTACCAAGCAATTTTAAAGTCGACATGTTAAATAGGTAGCTGGCTTGAACATTATTCCTGGAGCTTTGAACACGTACCTGTTTGCGTAGGAATCACCAGGACCAACTTCCTACGTGACAGAGAAAGGAAGAAAGAGACGATTAGTACCAAACACACAACCAAGAAACAAAAATTGGATTTTTCTGAAAACAAAATGAAAAGCCTAGAGAACAAAAACCAACAGTTTTTAAGCACAAATGTCAATCCAACAGAGAAGCAGTTTTGAACTTCTTTCCCAATGTAGTCTTATTCCTATTCTCCAGGATATTTTACAAAGCCCCACCTAAGAAAACTGAACAATGAATTTTAAAAACCCCAAAAAACACTTTTTCCAGACACATAAGAGATCGGACCCATGATTTGAAGGTCTGTTTGCAAAGCAAGCAGGCAGTTGGGGCATTTTCTGAGAAGGGAACAAATTTAGGAAGCTGAGAAGATCATAAGGAAAGGGCCTAGTTTCGTCTAGTGCAGGAGTGTCAAACTACCAGCCCGCGGGCCAGACGCAACACAAGGAAACTGCACCCACCCCATTGCTGGCAATGGGGAAAAAGCTCCGATACGTTGCATGACATCATGTGACGTCGCGAGTTTGACATGTCTGGTCTAGTGCTTAAGGCGCCCGCCTAGAAAGTAGGAGACTGTGAGTTCTAGTCCCACCTTAGCCAAGGCTGGGTGACTTTGGGCGAATCATCAGGAGATGGTGAGTTCTAGTCCCACCTTAGACATAAAAATCAGTTGGCTAACTTTGGGCCACTTTTTTTCAATGTCGTTGTAACTGCAAACGGTCACTAAATGAACTGTGGTAAGTCGAGAACTAGCTGTAATGGTGGTTTTTCACCTCTCTGCTCTCCTTCAGCAAAATAAGATGCGGTGGGGGGAAAAAACAACCTCATCACAGCCATAGCAATGAACATTTTGCACGATTAAAAGAGATGATTTGAAATTCCAAATATTGTTCTAGCATGCTTGTAATGGGCCTGCCAGGAAGCAGAGAGAGGGAGGGAGGGAGGGAGGGAGGGAGAGAAAGTGAGAGAGAGAGAGAGAGAGAGAGAGAGAGAGAGAGAGAGAGAGAGAGAGAGAGAGAGAGAGAATTACCTCATTGTCTATTTGCTTGTTGGCTGCTTTCATTAGTTCAGTAATGGCTCGATTATGCTGCAGTCGCAAACTGCTGAATTCTTCACAAACGGCGAAATCGGAAAGCAAGCCCATCTGAGTAAATGTTTTACAGAGTACTGTATGGGGGGGGGAGAAAAGACCCTTTGAAAATAAAGCGAAAACTCTTCCAACGCTTGCCTTCATTACGTTTTTATGCCCTCCCTCTACTTCCAATTGCTTTTCTTTCATTTAAAACATGAGTCCCGGAAGGTGGATTTCAGAATAATGAAAAGTTAAGATATTAATACAATTAACGGTTATAATACAAGTAGCCTCGTCCAGCCCTTGAGATGTAAAATCCAGTAACGTATAGCAGCTGCAAACCATCGGGAGAGAAATAAAAAAGCAACTTTAAGAGAAAAAGAAGAAAAACAGGCGTGCTAAGGCTTCCTATAAATACTGGTGAGGCTTATAATCAGGCTTATAATGGCGAGGCAACTTGTATATAAACAGAGGGCAAACCCCACTTCTAGCGCTGGCATTAGCTAGTTGGATCATGAAATGTCTGCAAGAAAGGAACCAAGCCTAAAGAGCACCAAGGACCCCACAGTCCTTCTCCTCCACCTCCTTCTTGTCTCCTTCTCCTTTCTCCACTCTGCAAACCCAATTCCCTCCTAGCACTGATGATGTTACCTAGCTCGGTCATGAAATGACTACAAGAAAAGAACCAAGCTCAGAGAGCACCAAGGACCCCACAGTTCTCCTCC